TCAATTTAAAATAAGAGTTGGGATGAGCCTAACCTAGTTGGCACATGCCTCAAATCTTATTTGCTTCACTGTCATTTATATTAACTTGCTCTTGGACCAATCAATAAAGCATAAATTAATCTTTTTTTGGGCTTCACAACTTTTATTCCAAGGGCAAACACACATCGTTGTCTATGTCTTTTGTAATTCAATGTAGTGTGTACCACTTTACAGTACAAAGGGGATAACATTAACATCATGTGATATAAAATATGCAGACCAATTCTATCCACCACATAGTTTGTCTATTTTTTCTCCCAACTTATATTTGTCATGTCATGAGTAAGTTGGAACATTTACAGTGAACATCGCATCACATCTTGTCAGAGAATGGTCCCCAAAAGATCATATCGTGAAACTGCTTCGGAAAGTACTTTAGTAGGTCTTCTTTACCTCCTTGGATGGTGCAACTTGGTACGTCCTTTGTAAAGAGTGTTCTGCACGTGACATCTAAACAAATATTCCAGTTTGTATAGCTATAATGTAGTAGCTTAAGTGGCAAGTACATTTAACACGATATAGTTTGCGCAATCATCTGTGACTGGGCTGAGAACATCAGCCGGCTACTCTTGATAATCCCGTTTACTCCTGGTTGGTCAAATGGATTAAAATCCAGGATGTAAGTTCTCATGGATGTAAAACATTCTGAAATGTTAAACGGTTTTGTTTCGTATATAGTATGTATTGTTATACGACATATCTGTATCTTTTACAATTCATTTTAGAATACAAAGAAACCCAATAATCTACAGTACCAAGTGGTACCTCTTATGGCCCACTCCTAAAGCTCAGCTTTCCATTGATTATTTTACCATAAGGTCATATAAATGACACATACTGTACACATCCCCAATTACGATACAAACCTTCCCAGCTCCTTCATGTGATTAAATTTTTCCGTTCTTAGCAAGCACGCGGATATTTTATAAATAAAGTTTATAACATTAAAAAGTAAAAAAATATATTTTAACCAAAACAAATTGTGCTGGAATGGGGTCCTTTCATGACACCACGTGCTTATGTTTAGAAGTCAGGTCTTGCCCGTCCTCTGTTGGCTTTCCATCCACGCGGTGGGCTTATATCCAGCATCACACTCTCACACTTGTCAAGATTCCCATTATCGGCACAAGACTCCTGCTGAGAATTGGGATTTCCCAATTGCAAATTGAGTTTCACAATGTTGAATTTATAATTAACCTTTACCCGGAGAGACATGCAAAGCACAACGTTTCGTACCTTAATAAGCGGTACAACAAATCCAAACTGTCCTTGGTCTGTGTAGCCAGCTGTTACTGTGGCATTGGACGATAATTGGAAGGTTTGGTTGAAAGTTGACATTATGGTTGAAAGTCAACTCATGTCTGTTTAACACGTAGGCTTTCACTACCATGAACCCATGTCTGGTCTCTGCTATAGGAATGTTGAATTTCTACAACTAGCTTAGTGCTGTCTTTTTCCCAAAGTATTTTGAAATAAATCCACCAAATATCTAAAGGACCTCCTGACTCCTCAAATTCACAGCAGCAACGTCAGAAGGGCCTACCTGTTTTTTTTGTAAAATGCCAGGTATTAAAACTAGGTTTGGCGATGTGTCTACGCTGCTGTTGCTGCTGCCCCACGTGACTTGATGCTCGACTCCCTGCCCTCCCTCCACCGATTCCAATCACTCTTCGCTCAAAGTGCAGAGTTCAACCCCTCGCGTTCCCCGTGGTGGTTATTTTATTTGCTCAATCGTGTTCGCTACACCTTGCACTCATCTCCTCTCTGACCTGTCTGACCCTTCGATACCTCACCCTTGTATTTGGTGCAATTGTGTCTGTTTTCCTTCGTTAATATTGTTCATTTCTGTTATTTAAACATATTTTTTGCCCAGACTCCCCCCCCCCCCCCGATCGATTCCTAATTTTGAGGCTATATTGTGCCGAGATTGTTACACATTATCTGCAGTTTTTTTCCCTCTTTTTCAAATCTACTCCGTATTCTGTTTTTTTTTTATTACAATAAAAAAACATTATTTTTGCATACACCTACAACACTTTCTATTCCGTTGTTGCCTGTTTCCCCATATGGATTACATTTTTGTTCTTGTTCTGTGCTGAAGCACCACAGATCTTGCTTGCAAACTAGCTGGGTCAGTGGCTCAATGGGACTTCCATGTAACAACTAAACATTGACTGATTAACACCGAGGTATGATCTCATTGAGAAACCATGTCTTCTGCAAATGAAGGCCCACGGAGAAGAAATGTCACGTGTCATGTGCCAAAACACAGTGGGACCTGACCATAATGTACAGAATCTGTTACCACTTGTTTTAAGTTTCTATCCACGTGACTATTGATTGCCTCTAATGTATCAATGCATTTGTAGTGGATTCAACTGAGTCACATATGTACTTCTTGGGCGGCAACACATATTTATCAACACATAACACAAGGGGTTATTGCCCCTTTACCAGATAACCTATGGTTGTGGACAACCAGGCTAACTACGCTAGTTACTGGGAGTAGTTACAACGGACAGGACCCTAGCTTGGCTCCTCATCCACGTGTTGGTGACTTCTTCTTGGACGTAGAACGTCGATCTTCAGATGATGACAGCAACGCTGAACCCCGGTCCCTGTAGGGACCCCGGTTTGTATGCTCCTGGGTCGTGTCTGGGCCCGCTCTTGGCCACGACCACCTTCGAGAAACCTCTTGTCGTTTCTTGACCCTTCCCGTAGGATCTCCGTGACCACCCCCTAGCCCCCACCTGGGGCCCCTGTGTAGATCTTACTGGTCACGTGCCTTCCAGGGTCAACCAGAGTGCCATGGCCTAGGGTAACCTCATCCCATGGCTGACACTCTCACACTCCTTCCTGTAGGAGTCAGCACTGCATGCCACGCGTTGTGCCACTGCGCTTTTCCAGCGCTCACCGAGCCCCCTCTAGGGCCAGTACTACACTCACCTATGGGGTGTCCGCGATGACAATGCATCGCACGCCGTGCCTTGCGAGAGCCGGCGTTACTCAGTGACATTCACGATGTTGCTTCATACGTGATGTCCACGATGTGAGTACATCGCACGTCGTGCCCCTCTAGGGCCAGCACCACACAGTGACATCCGCGATGTCACTACACATTTATTGCCATCTTTCTACACAGTGCTTCAGATGCTGCTGCTGTTATATGTATAGTGAGTCACTTCTGAGACACTATTTTAGGAGGCAACAACGTTTATTCTACACTTCATATCTTACACATTGTTCACACACGGGATAACTAATTATGGGTGAGAGCAGCCAACATGCCGTCTGACCCACGACGCCAGAGACGGAGACGAAAACGTAGCACCTCGGGTTCCATTCCACCTGTAGACAGCCCCGATTCAGCCTCGGGGCTTGCCTTTTATACCCATCAGCGTGGCCTGGCTCTGCCCTCGGCCACGCCCCCTTCTAGAACCTTCCAGGAGGTCCTGGGCCGACCTCCATGTGCCACCTACCAGGCTCCGCCTTTAACCACGCCCCCTCCTGGAACCCTCCAGAAGGTCCTGGGCCATGCTCTCTTTGTCCCTTCGGTCACCTTTGCCCTACATCCTTCACCCCGGCCCATCACGTGCTTTGCCAGCCGGCCGGGGTGATGTATCCCCACATGCCCGTCTCCACCAGCAGCCAGTACCACGCCCCCTATTGACCCACTACGTGGCATCACCTGCTGTGATGGCGGGATAGCTGCTATACCATGCTCTGTCTGTAGGACTCATATACCCCTCTCTGCCAGCAGCCAGCACCGCACACCCTAGCGGCCTAGCGACTCACTGCGTGGTATTACATGCAATTCTGACATGACAACAACTGTCAACACCTTTGCACGAGTCAACACAACAACGACAACCATAAGCCCCCCTCGCGAGTCAACACAACAACAACCGTTTGCCCCCTCGCGAGTCAACACAACAACCAACGAAAAAATTTGCGACGCACCATAATAACCCACCCCCGGACTATAAACAATACCTGACAAACGCTGTCCCGCCACAGCCCACGAACCCAGGAAGGACCCAGTTCAACCAGCAACACACAGCCCGGTTCGTGTCCGTGACCTCTTGCCAGATGGTGGTGGGATAAATAGGATGACTGGGGCGGTCCTTTAAACCGCACAGTTCTCGAACGGTTCCTCGTTGCCGGGCCCCCGGATGGGACAAGGGCGCGTTTCCCGGGTGCCCTAGGGATGACTGGAAGATGGCCTAATGGGCGCAGCCCCTCCCGGATAATAGATGGGGGGGGGAGAAGAAGTTGGTGCCGGCCACTCCCTCCTCCTTGGATGGCTTTCGGACGGCTTAACGGGTGGTTCCGTGGTCGTCAAGTGCTGGATTCCTTTGGGCTCGGAGGAGCTGAGGTCGGCAGGGTGGTAGACGGTGGAGGTGCGATGAACTGTCCCTGCTTGGTGCGGCATCCCTTGGAAACTTGGCCTCACAGGCCACGCTTCCCAAGGGTGGGCATCTCTGAGTGCGAAGTCGGCAGCGTCTCAAATTTGGCGGGAGCAGTTTCCCGCCCATCATATGCCCCTCTCTGCCAGCAGCCAACACCACGCACATTAGCGACCCACTGCATGGTATTACATGCTGTGCTCGCTGCTACACCCATATTTCCTTATTCTATTGTACCCAGCGCTACGTGCTGCAGTGATCCATTCTATCTCGCTACATATGTATAGTACGATGACGAGCTTTAAAAATGTATTCGTATTTTTTCCTAAAAGTTATTATCTTATGTTTGTACACTTTTATTTTTGTGTATACATCCGTAGATGTTTTATTTTTTTTCTGGTGCAGCATCTTGAGGCGATTTTATTGCCATTAATGGTGCCCGTATATAAACGAAAACCCAAATGAATCGATTGAGCAAACTGCACTTGCCGTACGTGAAGTTGAATCGTGTCTGAAAAGTGTAATAATCTTAATTCCACCTCGCTTTTTTTGCAGTGGATGGACACTGGTCCAAGTGGACGAGTTGGAGTCCCTGCTCGGTGACCTGTTCCAATGGCACGCAGCAAAGGACCCGGGATTGCATGGAGCCTTCGTTTGGGGGCTCCGACTGCAGAGGCAGTGTGTCTGAAGAGCGCCCTTGCTATAATGCTGACTGCCCAAGTAAGATATTTTTATTTTCTTCTTTTTCTGCATTCACCATGGTCAATCCACTGCTGAATGAAGGTCTCTACGAGCTGTCGCTGCCTCTTTTAATCATGCCCTGTAATAATGATCCACCTGGAACCTGCACACGAGTTGATTCCATCGCTCCATCTCCTCATACAGATGTCCTCTCAGACGCGTTCCATTCCCTGGCTGCAACTCCATCGTTATTCTTGACCATTGGCCATCATCCCTTCCAGTGATGTGTCTTCCCCAAGACCGCGTTGATATTATCGCACGGTTTATGTTCTGTTATCCATGTGTTCTTTTTTCTGTATATCAGTGTTATTCCAAGCTTCCATCTCTCAATGCTCTATGAACTTATCAGTGTTTGTTCGATATTTTATGTATCTTTTAATTTTATTTTAGTATTACAGTATTATTGAGATACCACTGCCATTGACCACAGACACCATTTTTGTATCATAATGGGCTTCATAACTATGTGGCCTAGTGACAGCTAATAACGTCTGGTTAATCCACCTGGGAAATCAGTTCCCTGCTATCGATAGCATTTAAGAAATATCTATATAAAAATCCCCATAAGTAGCATTCGACAAATAGGAGGGAATAACCCGGGAGTTAAGAACAACCGATATTGCTACTGTATATGCTTAAAAAAAAACGCCGTATATTATGGATACATACACTACATCGCAAACACGTGTATAGTTACACAAACAAATAATTGTAATCTTGTACATCGCTAAGTTGCACCTTTCTCTGTAGAATATCAATTGACAGTGCACATAACTACACACTGTCCGACAGAGATTGTTATTCCTTTTTCAATTGTAACATCATCAGAACAATACACAAATACATAACTAACATTCTAACAGATGGTGGTACTGAGAGTGGGAAGATATATGAAGAGGGATGGACATGCTAGACAATATATATATAGGCCACAGATAACTCTATGTAAACAATTGGGAAAATAATGAGAAACTAAATAGGTGGAGAATGTAAAACAAAAATAATAATAAATGTTTTAACAAGCATGAACGTGGAAACGTGAAATAGGTGATGGGTAAATCATGAATAGGAGCCATTAGAGACCAAGATTAAATTATAGCGCATGACAGAGACAGAAAATAAGACTGGCAGAGGAATCCCATCCAGAAGTCTCAGAAAAAATATATTGTATGTACTAGGAAACTAATAATTTATTACTCATAGAAATAATTACTGAGTTTTGCAGCAGGAAAGTATTATATACATCAACGAGTATGATATGAGCAGTCTAAATAACCACACATATGCATATATGTATAATGTTCACACATGCACATAGCTGATGATGCAATGACACACATATTAAGATACTTTTATGATTTTTAGGGCTTCATGTTAATACCCCTGGCTCACAAAGCGAGACTAAGGCACCTTGAAGAATCTTAGGGTTTAATTTTGTACGTCCAATAATCAGAAAACCAGTATTGAGCATCGTGGCCATGGGCATTCGTTTAATAATGAATACGATTTTTAAAGGAACATTAATTAGGGAATTCACTTCCGGAGCATTCGGTCTTCAAGAACTACCTAATGCAAATCAAAGCGTGTGGTGGAGTGTTCTGTTTTCGTAGAAATAACCCACATGTTAAGTTCATTAAAATCGTTCAGAATCCTAAGAGGAAATGAAAATAACTTCCCAAGATGTATACGTACAATGGCAAGTCAAAGTCAATTGTCAAATTGTCTCTGCTCAAGTAAGCTCGAGTGTTCCTCTTATCTCTGTCGTATGTATGTCCATTGAACTTCTTTCGCAATGTACGTAGCCAACCGTGCTTATCGGAGGTGCGGGGGAAGGACAAGAAACTAAACAAAAACATTATAAAAAAGAGTTTTCAATCTCCACTTAAAGGTGCATAGCTCCAGTGGCTTCCTAATATCAGAAGCAAGAGCGTTCCAGATGGCCACAGAAATACATCTAAATGTGTGATGTAGTGTCCATCTTTGTTCTGCTGGAGGCCAGTATACTCATAACAATGAATATTAACAGCAACATGCAAGGTGGTAGTCTATTTATAAACACAGGAGGAATAGTAAGCCGGGTTTGAACTTAACAAGTTCTCATTGTGTGTCAAACCCTCTAACTACAGTGCCACTCACTATTAATCCACACAGACATCCACACACATAGATGCCTTAAAACTATACAGGAAAGAAGCATGCTACAAACTAAGAATCACATATCACCGAGTGTCTATGATCTTTACATTGCTGTGCAGGTCTTTATAATTTACTGAATAATTCCATCTCACATTTGTTTTCATCCGGAGCCAACGCAGCTTCAAAAAGATAATTCCTAAAGTGTCCAGGTCATTGGAATCAAACCACTTATTTCAATAACTGCCTCACCCAACCCACTAGGCTGTTGTTGAAATCAGACACACTCTTCGATATCTTTTAATTAGATAGCGCAATAGTATTGCTCGTTCCTCACAGCAAAAAAAGGGCCTAGGTTCGATTCCTGACTCGGGTGTGGAGTTTGAATGTCCCCCCCCCTGTTCTACACGGCTCTCTGATTTCCTCCCTAGGCAAAAAGAAAATGCCACTGGTATTGACCAAACATCCCAATATTGGAACATTACCTGCAAATTATTCAACAGGCATTACAGCCATATCTTAACAAGTTATTGTGTGTTGAAGAAATCCTGCGGGTGCAACATCACATATCTGCCATCACCAATTAACCACTCACACCCAGTGCAGTACTCGTGCACGATGGCATAACCATAATTTTCCTTAGATGTTCACATATCCGATCTGTTCACATATCTGCCTATATGAGTTGGATATTCGGCGTTGTACTAAGCTAAATATTTGCAAGAGAAGGACGATGCGTGGCAATGTCATGGCTAATTTAGTCACCTGCTGCATGATGTATTCGCATTATATATTAATTAACAGGTGCAGGAGGTTATTTGTTGAATCCTCTGGTGTAATACACCGTCGCCCCACTCACCCCGGGATATTTGAAATACATTTGTTGGAATTTAATCAGGCAATCTCGATGTGGATTTTTTCTTAGATGTTCATAACATTCGGGGAATTTTTTTTTTTTATAAAGTTGCTCATCCCGTGCTAAATGCAAATTAAGGAGCGATTTCTACAGTGCAGCAACATCATTTATTACCAAACAAAATGTAAATATATGCCGGTTTAACAGCTTCAACGAGAATATATTTCACTGTATATCATTGCGGGTTAACATTAATGGCAGCAAGACTACTTATTTCCATAATAATTTAGGGAAAGGAATAAAAATGTGTTTAATTAAGCTGGTGCTTTGGTGCAATTCTACTGGCTATGGATATCATATGGCTCACACCCTTTAGGGCAGATGGCACATTTATCACAACTTTTGCTATGCAAATAAGCCCCTTCAATGCTCCGCACAATATTTCAGAAGTAATGGGTGACCACTGCGGTTAGAGTGCTTGACTCACTATAGGAAGGTTCCGAGTTTACAATCCTCATTGGAGATTGACTTGGAACATCGTACTTACAGGGCAAGATACAATAAAAAATAAGTCCCATTTTTCTTTTGGATGAAAACAGTTGTTAATTCTACTCATCCCGACAATACGAATATGGAATTCCCACCACAGGCTCAGGGCCACAAATGGGCTACATGAGCACTCTCCCACTTCTCACACGTGCATGGGAGAACCTTGATTACAATAGGCTATAGCAAGTGAGTGTACACATTGTAACTTGTCACGCATATTGCTAAGTCATCCCTCCCTGTTCGGTAATACTCCGCATTTGTATGGATCACCGTTTGTAAGCTCAACGTCCTGCCCCTGTGCCGAGGGATAGCCATGTGCAGCGGATAAGTCACGGATGTCTGCCCTGGCGAAAGCTGCACCAGCCAGCACGACTGCATGAGTAATGATCGCACGACGTGCAAAATTTAATGGACTCATTTTCATGAGCAATGTGGCCTTGTGTCTAGAGAATCAGATATTTCAATTACATCCCCCGATTCCATCAATCCAGCACCTCGGGAGGCTATTTACAGCTGTACAAAATCATTAAATAGAATGAAACTGTCCCAAAATGCTATAAGGATGCGTTTGGACAAATACTATGCAATTATATGCAACAGTTTGGGTATAGGTATTTCATGATTTAAAGCAGGTTAGACACATTTATTATACACTGAGTAAATGCTTAAATCTGGGATTTTAATATACCATCGATAAAAATGATCATATATTCACACTAATAAATTGTATATGCACGTTGCCAAAGATAATAATTTGTTTAATGTATATATGCCAAGATTGATTGTAGGGTTTGTCTATTTAAAGTTATGGTAGTATCAAATAAACAGAAATGCCATTTTAATAAATTTGGCATTTTCATTTCAAGTGTTGTTATGTCATTCCAATGCAAGAACAGGTACTATTTTAAAATAAAGAGTACACAAAAAATACCTGTATTATGGGATTATCATTATTGTTACAACACCGTGTAATAAGCACTGCTCTTTGATACCTTCATGGCATTTCCATCTGCCTGGCTTACATTTACAAACGATCATCAACAAATGAAGACTAAATTTAACATCGTGCCTTCCAGCCAGGGTGAGAAACACAAAGACTTTCGCAGGGAATATGAACACCGTTGAGAATGTTTATCCTGACATGCGTATGATGCCAAAAACTATGGGAAAAGGCTACCGCAGTATTGGCTTTGGATTAAAATTCTGCAAAGAGTGTGACAGCACAGTAAGGTCAAAGCAGGCAAATTGTGGGATAAGAGGCAAAATATACCCTTCAGAAACATTGCTAAAACATGATATCTGCTGGAACATTCCAAATCACAAATAAGTGGTCTTTAAAATTGAATTGAGGCTGCGATGTATGCCTCTTCTGCTCTTTAAAACGTGTCAACATGTTGAAGCCGGAAGATGAAAGTTTAGTTATAGTCTCTCTGTGTGCCACCTCCTTTCTCGAAGACGTCAGCAATCTGGCCATTACATTTAGCTCCGTCCATGATATTATTCAATGACTCTGCATTTATTTAGTAACAGATGGGCATTACTGCGAGGATAATACATATTTTATTTGAAGAAGACTTTGCTTATCAATGTTTTTTTCATTTAAATTCTCCATAACAATACTAATGATTATTTTGAATCTGTTTAGTGATTACATACCATTTTTCAGAATAAACATAATCCCAGGTTTTGTATTATCAAAGTAACATGTAATGTATTTATTAACATTGCTTTCTTAAAATTAACACATATCAGGGATCTTTGACCTTGAATAATGACAGCACTGTACTGCTATTGTAGACCTCCGATTAGCACGGTTGGTGAAATACGGTGCAAAAGAAGTTCCAACATACATACAGTGAGGGAAAAAACGTATTTGATCCCCTGCTGATTTTGTACGTTTGCCCACTGACAAATAAATGATTAGTCTAAAATTTTAATGGTAGGTTTATTTGAACAGTGAGAGACAGAATAACAACAACAAAATCCGGAAAAACGCATGTCTAAAATGTTATAAATTGATTTGCATTTTAATGAGGGAAATAAGTACTTGAACCCCCTGCAAAACATGACTTAGTACTTGGTGGCATAACCCTTTTTGGCAATCACAGAGGTCGGACGTTTCTTGTAGTTGGCCATCAGGTTTGCACACATCTCAGGAGGGATTTTGTCCCACTCCTCTTTGCAGATCTTCTCCAAGTCATTAAGGTTTCGAGGCTGACATTTGGCAACTCGAACCTTCAGCTCCTCCACAGATTTTCTATGGGATTAAGGTCTGGAGACTGGCTAGGCCACTCCATGACATTAATGTGATTCTTCTTGAGCCACTCCTTTTTCTTCTTTGGTTCTTTCGGTAAAGTCACGTAGAATGAGAATACAATAATAAATTGATAAAATAAAATAACACAATAAAATTCTCACGACGTTGCGGCCACAACACAAGCACCCTTCATCAGGTGAAGGGACAAGACTGTCTGGAGGACAGCGCTGGAGCGAAAAGCCACTCCTTTGTTGCCTTGGCCATGTGTTTTGGGTCCTTGTCATGCTGGAATACCCATCCACGACCCATTTTCAATGCTCTGGCTGAGGGAAGGAGGTTCTCACCCAAGATTTGGCGGTACATGGCCCCGTCCATCGTCCCTTTGATGCGGTGAAGTTGTTCTGTCCCCTAATCAGAAAAACACCCCCAAAGCATAATGTTTCCACCTCCATGTTTGACAGTGGGGATGGTGTACTTGGGGTCATAGGCAGCATTCCTCCTCCTCCAAACACGGCGAGTTGAGTTGATGCCAAAGAGCTACATTTTGGTCTCATCTGACCACAACACTTTCACCCAGTTGTCCTCTGAATAATTCAGATGTTAATTGGCAAACTTCAGACGGGCATGTATATGTGCTTTCTTGAGCAGGCGTAGTTTGTTACCAATTGTTTTCTTGGTGACTATGGTCCCAGCTGCCTTGAAATCATTGACAAGATCCTCCCGTGTAGTTCTGGACTGATTCCTCACCGTTCTCATGATTATTGCAACTCCACGAGGTGAGATCTTGCATGGAGCCCCACGCCGAGGGAGATTGACAGTTCTTTTGTGTTTCTTCCAATTTGTGAATAATCGCACCAACTGGTGTCACCTTCTCACCAAGCTGCTTGGCAATGGTCTTGTAGCCCATTCCAGCCTTTTGTAGGTCTACAATCTTGTCCCTGCCATCCTTGGAGAGCTCTTTGGTCTTGGCCATGGTGGAGAGTTTGGATTCTGATTGAATGATTGATTGCACACTCTTAAAGGGAGTGCTCATAATCTCAGCTTGTTACCTGTATAAAAGACACCTGGGAGCCAGAAATCTTTCTGATTGAGAGGGGGTCAAATACTAATTTCCCTCATTAAAATGCAAATAAATGTATAACATCTTTGACATGCGTTTTTCTGGATTTTGTTGTTGTTATTTTGTCTCTCACTGTTCAAATAAACCTACCATTAAAATTATAGACTGATCATTTCTTTGTCAGTGGGCAAACGTACAAAATTAGCAGGGGATCAAATACTTTTTTCCCTCACTGTACATTTCCTCGCACTGCTGCCATCCTTGCATTTACCCAACAGACTGCCTCCAGAATTGTCCCATTACAATTGGAACAAAAAATGTATTTTAAAAACCTCAAAGCTTTAAATTATTACATAGAATGCAGACTTGATTTCTTGAAAAAAGGTATCTATTTGGAATTTGAACACCATAACACCTATTTTATTGCCAGAAAGGGTAAAACATATTCTTACTTTTCATACTTTATAGATGTTCGCTCCTTGTGTTGAGGTCTCTAACATATTTCAAAATAACGTGGCTCTAAAAAAAAAGGTAGTCCACGTTTACAAATGAACAGAGAGCTATAATCAATGACCAGCGTGCCACTCTTCAGGTGAATGAATTACACTTCGTCTATGCAGCCTTTCGTCATCTTTAGGCTTTGTAAAAAAAACACATTTGTGAATACATTCCCTATCGTGCGCAAGCAGTCAACATTTGTCATAATGTTTTATTCATTTTGTTACAGGCTCTATAGAAGAGTTAAGAAAATGCAACGGTCGAAAATGCACAGGTGGATATTAATTTTAAGTGTATGTGTGTGTATATACAGTATATGTATAAAAATGTATTCAATGGTGGGGGGGGGGGGTATTTGTCTTTGTTTGACACTGCACAGAATAAAGACGATAAATATAAGAGTGGCCATCTCCTGTTAACAAGGGAGTGAAAGTAAATACATCAAATAATTGTCTCATTTTACATCATGAAAGTATAATGCTCCGTAAAAACAAAGGGTTGTTTTGACATTGCTTGGCAAAGCTTTTAAAACATGCATCTTCAATACAGATGTATACTGTCAACACATTGAATCGAACGTAAAAGTACAGCTTGATTTACGTTGATACTTAAACACGCATGATCTCAAGTTAAGTCGAACGTAACGGTTCAACCCTACGGCTACGTGTTCGTGCCATTTTCGGGCCTCCACGTGTATTTTTTGCCGATGATTCGATACTGGCCAGACCTTGGAATAGATGAGAGTACCCACACTTTACCCCACCTCATGCTACCTGCCGATCAACTAATTGTGGTGAAACCATTCATGCTGTTCGGTGAACAGAGGCACGGTGATTTTAAGACATGCGGACCCCGTTGTTCCAACTGCCACGGCAGGAGATTGCAAGCCCGCTGTGCTAACAATTACACCACAGCAGCATCCCATGGCTTAATGTGTGAGAAATGAAACCATAATCGCATACAAGAGTGGGTGTTCAATGCTACTACAAACCAGATAATAACTTCATTTGACATTTCATATGACAGTGGGTGAAAGCCAGTTTGGCAGGACAAATTCAGCCGGTCAATGAAACGTACGCATTTCTTGTTAATAATTGTGGGCTAATTGGTGTGTATGTGTGTGTGGTGTGGATTGGGGGGGAGGAGATATCATATGAAATAATTTCAGTTGAAAATATCTGTGACAGTTGTGCTTTTTATGCTCCCCCCCCCCACACCCCGCAGCTTTACATGAATTTTGCGACCAGGATGTCCACATTGGGCTGACGTGGAAACAAATATCAGCCGGAGAAACTGCCATCAATCGCTGCCCACCCAACGCTTCTGGTGAGGAGGGTGATTATTTAATTAAAGTACCGCGCGCACTCCACCAGAGTGCCCAGATTACGTTGGCTTGCTATGTCGCAAACACTGATGCTGTAATCATTGTACCAGCTCCGTGAAAGTGGCAATTTGCAAAGACTGTCGTCTTCACGTTATTTTTGTTCTGCTGTCAAAGTACTTGGGCTTAAGTTGACACAGAAAATTTAATGTTACTGGTTTGTCTTGCCCTTGTGTTGTCATTGAAGTCTACAACCGAATTTTATTTGAACAAACAGTGGGCATAATTTTTGTTTCAATGTGCGCGACGTATGAATTATTTATTTATCTTACCATTGAATGTAACATAAATAATGAGTTTGGTAAGGGGTCTTGTTAAATAGCTTGAAGGAGATGACATTTAATCAATTGACTGATGTATTGAGTACTATTTTCACTCCGCCATCTAAGACACCTTCAAGTCATCGCTTAGGTTTATTTATATTTTATTAGTTGAAAGGTAAAACATTGTAATTAAACTTGTGACCAGAAATCCTTTATGCTAATTATTACAAAGAAACTGGGTTATGGAGCAGACTTGTACTGGCTTATGGTCGTTGCTTTAATTATGGCTAACGATTATGTCATAGCTGTGATGGTCAAAAATGTAATTCAAAGTGTCTCTGTGCTTCAAACGATTAATTGGGCAGCGCTAATCTTCGCTGTTAGTTTATCTGAGCCAGTGGTGGAAATCCTCATCCCCATGGCAGGGAAAATATCTGTGGCAAGGCAGCTGTTGATACGATTATGTTAGAGCCTAAACCCTGAAATTTACATTGAGGCACTGTTAAAACAATGAAACAATTTATTGCCGGATGGGTACGTAACTAATAAATGCAACTTTCGTCATCGTAATAAACAACAACAGCAACGACGAAAAATGCAGCAACAAACAAAGAATACAAAGTAATAAAATAGTCAACATTCTGCATGTAATAACTTTTCTGTGAATACATTTCCCAGCTTAATGTTTGTTTGTTTATCTGCATTTGCTTAATTGGGTGAAACTACAATGTAAATGTTATATCCATAAGAGGTTTTTTAGGGTTAAATCGCGTAATCATATAAATGTGTCGTTAAACCCGCCACCACCACACACAGCCAACTCGTATGGGCTGTCACGAAAGCATAACATGCCAATAAATCACTAGCACAGCGCACCAGTGTGTTGGAGAGCCCAAGCCACAACATTTACAATATGAGTACGACGTTTCGCCAGTAATTACAATTAGCTTTATCAGGCGATAGCCAGATTTGTGGAGAAGTCCACCTGTTTTGTTCCTTATTATAGAGGCGTAGATGTGGTGACCACCCTTGTGCGCTCGTCTTGCGCAAAGTGGGAGAAAGGTTAATGAGTCAACGTACATTATGCATGTGCATGATGCGAGCCCATTGACCTTGTACTTCCTGCGCATTGTGCGTACTAAAATAGCTGTACCAACGGTAATCCCTATTGAAGTATGGTGACCTGTATAGGCATGCATTTAAACAATGTATTATTTGATGATTCGCTTCCACGCAGCACGAAGTCGGTAGCCATCCGAATGGTTAAAATTATTTTTATTTATTTCAATTTCGATAAGATTCTCGAATTAGTCTTGTCCAGTAGTAACTAGTTTTGCACAGACCTTCAACATGATCAAAATCAATTGAGTGTCCTTATTGGCACACATGTTCTGCTACTGCTGACAGTTGTATTTGGGAGTATTTAATTCTTCTTTGGTGTCATTTTAGTCTCGTGCTGATCATTCGTTCTGTTTGCCCAACATAGTATTTGCAACAAGTGCAATTAATCCGGTACACACGTTCTGTTGATAGCTTCGGTAATACATCTTTTGTACCAGATATTAATTTATGTATTTTATGTACCATGCCAAATCTGACTCGGATGTTTTGTTTTTCCAAACATCTGGCTAGTTTATCAGTTACTCCCGCAATGTACGGTATTTTAATAGTTTTTATTAGTTGGGCAGTTTCAATACCCGTGTTATTTGATTTGGTTTTGGCATTAAATGCCCTGTTGATTTGTGCATCATTGTAACTGTTCAATTGCAGCGCTTCTTTAACATGTTTAATTTCACTTCACAGACTATCACCATCTAACACTTTCTTAGCCTGATGAATGAGCTTCTTGATGAGAGCAGATTTCTGTGCAGGGTGATGGTGTGACTCTGCATTCAGATAGACGTCAGTGTGCCTTTTCTTTCGGTAAACGCTGTGTTATTTTATCATTTAGACCCCGTCCGAGCAGAATATCCAGAAATGGTAGAGTTCTGTCAGCTTCCACTTCCATGATGAACTGGGTGGATGGGTTTTGCGAGTTGAGATGATTTAGAAATGCATTAAGTGTATATTTGCCATGTGGCCAGGCCACCAATGTGTCATCCACATATATAAACCAAGCAGAGGGTTTTAGTGTGCTTGAAGCTATTGCTTTTGTTTCAAATCTTCCATTTACAAATTCGCCATCACAGGAGACAAAGGACAGTCCATTGCTGCTGCTTCCTTTTGTTTATAGAAGTCACCTTTCCACAAGAAAAAGGTGTTCATTAGACAGTGTTCACCGAGTCGTGGGATAAATGATATATACGTATAATTTCCAAAATGTCACCATTTTAGCTACCAAAACATAAATAAAACTAAGCCATCTTCATCCTACCAGTCAAAGCCCACTGAGGTATTCACTTATTTTTCAAAAGCAACCTGGCCACAAATGATAGCTCAACAAAGTGGTTTATATTTTGGACATTTACTGTATAGCAGCAACATAATCTAAATAGTCTAAACCAGTAGTTATTAACTTTTATTCCAGCCGTGCATCCCTTAGGTTCTGAATTGTAAAATAAATACAATGTTATTAAATACATAGGCTTGATGAAACAAAGTAGTTATACTTACGTGCCTGTGCTTAATGCATGCTCCAACGATTTACCTTCAAAAACAATCTGGCATGTCTCGCACCCCCAGAAAGGGCAACTCGCACCCCCAGGGGGTCCATGCACCTCAGGTTAAGAACCACTGGTCAAAACGCATGTTTGAAATTATATTGCAAGCTTCACTTTACCACCTACACTCTAATCTATATATCAAAGGCAAAAACCAAAGGGTCTCGCTGTTGGGGCTGGCATAAACGTCATTGTCAGCCCCGAGCCAGTGCTGTTAATTCCACATTTCCATGGTTGGAGCCAATCTCTCTCTAGGAAAACCACAGTAAAAAATATGTAAAGGTGCTACCTTAAAATGCCTTGCTCACATCACTACTGCAAGAAGGGCCTCCGCTAGAGGGGGCTCTACATTGTGCCCCTCTAGAGAGTATTTTGGCCTACACTTGGCAAACGTCTTGGAAGAGGCGGGAGTACCCACACTTTACCCCACCCAACGCGACTAGCCGATCGACTGTGGGGGACCCATTTATATTGCTGGATGCGTGGGGGGGGGGGGCATCTAAGAAACTTGGTCATTGTTTCAGATGCCCTGTACTAGGAGATCGAACGGGTTGTCTCTATGTGCTAACCATTGCATTACAACAGCACGCATAATCATGTTAATACAGGTGTAGTGTTGTAAATAAAGGCAGACAATTTCTTGTCTTCTGTCCGGGCCACTTTATTACAATTTGTTTATTTAACACTTGTTTAGTTAAGCCGAGGATCCGCTGACCGCTGCTCGTTCGCTCCATTACTTTCCGCATCCCTATCCTATTCTCTACCCTCCTTTTCACACCCCCCGGCTGCTGTCTCAGTGGGTTGACACCACTGCAGCCGCAGCGTTAAGCGTGCCGACATACGAACTGCGCTCGCGCCTTTAGCGTCCTACACCTGGTCTGTACGGGGCCCATGTCTCACTCTCAGCGGGTTGATACCAGGGTAGCCCCGGGGGTCAAGCGTGCCGACGTACGGACTGCGCTTGCCTCTAGCGACCCTATCCTAGCCTACCCAGGTCCACACAGGACTACTCTCGCCCAAAAATACTCTAACTAGTGGCGGATCCGGCTTCAGCTTCTCTTGTCTTCTGTCTTCATCATACTGCCCATCGGGCTCGTTTTGCCCGTCTTATATATCCCTCGCGACCCCTTCCAGAACATTCTCCAGAATATCCCTCTATGATTGGCAGATACCGGTCTTTTGAATTCCGGTCCACCTCCTCCCTTGTTTACCCCAACGGAATAACCCCAACGGTCATCCTCACCTTGGCTGCTCTCGACGTTCCCATGATGATACTCATCAACCGCCTCTTCTGGCTGACGAGCGCAGACATGCAGCCGTTCTCGAATATGTGCACGTTGAACCACTATACATGCAATGCAGTAAACCAATGGGCCTAATACATATATCTATTTTGAAGATACCAAAACATCATTGAGCATATGGTGCATTCTTACAGGTGTTGACAAAACATAATTGAACAAAAAAACATATTTCTGCTGTCTACCTGTGGCGTGCTTTTTTTCTCCAGACTCATTTGACTGTGTGTTTACATGCGCAGGGATCATCACGCGGAGATGCTCGTTGGATTCCCGGGGGCTTGCATACTGGGAGCCACCAAGCTATTCACTTTGCGTGTCGCATCATTTCAACATGCTTTTGCAAACGGTAAAGTCTCTAATTATTTTCGGACAAAAATTTTGCTAAATGAAAAGGAAATATTTGAAGTCTGTGTTTGTTGCAATGGGGGTATTATAAACAATTTTCAATTTAGACTCCACCAAGTCCAATTTTTGTTAGGATATTGCAATTTGTTGTATTGTGTTGGTGTGTGCACATGTGCAACGTGGTGTGTGCTGTGGTGTTACCGGCAGTGGTAGTGTTGAGGTTAGCGGACTGTGTTACATACCTGATACACCTTGAGTTTCATTCCCTCCAACAGCCAACATCAGTAGCTAATATCTGAGCCACCTTTGATTTCTGAAACAAATATATTGATCTTTAAAGACAGCACTTGCCCCAACAGTCTGTTCTGGCTATTTGGGGATTGTTTTTATCTTTGTGGTATGCATGCACATTGTTGTGCATATTTGCATTTGTGTGTAATGTGGTTTCACGTTTGATTGCACGTGTGTTTATATCCTTACAATGGGGAGCGGTATTACAGCAGTTAGCGCACTGCACTACGAACCCAGCGATATGGGTTCACGGCCAACATCAGTGGCGATTATCTGAACTGGTCTTGGGCCTCCCCTCGGTCGACTCAGCCTCAAATGAGTACCTAGTGTGGTGTATAAAAACACTGCCCCCTCATGTGCCGTGCCGGCCTTCATAGGTGCTCGCGAACAACACCTGCCCCAACAGTCTTCTACGGCTATGGGGGGATCTTTGCCTTTCTATGTCCTTACATGTATGTGCTATAAATAATGAGGGAGTCTTCAAGTAGGGGTTAATGCACTGAGGGAGTCTTCAAGTAGGAGTTAATCTGTCCTTGGCCTTTCCTAGGTCAGCTCAGTCTATAATGAATGCCTGGTACAATCTTTTCATATCAGAAATGGGAAATCAAATCCAGCGAAGTGGAGTGCTGACTGTACCACCATCTCTGAGTTCTGTGCCAAGTTTAAGAGGCGGTCCCTAAGAGTATTTGTCCCAACACTGTATACATATTAATATTTGTTTTGGTTTCTTTTTGGATGGTTTAACACGTAGGCTTTCGCGTAAATATATAATATTTACGTGACCTAACCCAAAAAAACTATATTATGGTTGTTTTGGGATGTATGCTCATTTGCATGCAATTTGTGTCAAAATGTACTTTCATAAAATGGTCTTTCATGTAACTTCATCCAAATCCATGTGCAATGTATTTAGTAAATGCAACAGTGTGATATCTGATGCACATCCGACGAATATATATTTAGATTTTGTAATTTCAAAAGTATTTTGTTTGCCAAAAGTGTAACCGTGTTCCACGTTCTGTTGTGCACCAGATGAAAGAACACCTTTCGAAAGGCCACAGGCCATCGGCAAGTGAAGGAATGGCACAAGTGATGAGAAATCTCTTTGATTCATCTCACCTGAAGCACATGTACAGCGGAGACTTGCTCGTCTCAGTAGATATTTTAAAGAACGTTACAGAGGCATTCAAGACTGCCAGTTACAATCCATCTTCAGAGGATGTCCAGGTGACCTTAAATTATATATAAAAGTATATATTTATATGTATAGGTATATACACACATTATGGATGATTATTATTGAATTTTATTTTAAAACGTAATGTTTCCAAGGTTATATTTCCCTTCCCGATAATCTAATCCGTATATATTTTGTTTTATTCTCAGAACTACGCTCAAATTTTTAGCAACCTGCTTTCAGAAGAACACAAAGAAAAGTGGGATGATGCACAGCAGGTGTGTTTTTAATAATGCTTATAAAACATATTTTTAATTTATGATCAGAAGATCATTTAAATGTGATTGCGGTAAATTAAATGTTTCTCGACACCTAATCAGTGGAGGGGGGGGGGCATTTATGTCACTTGACTAAATCCACCATCCATATACAGCACATATACACACTAGAGCAGAGTGGTTCCTGCAGGAATCATATTTCATTCATATTATCCTACCCTGGACAATTCCTGTAGGATTCACGATTGGCAGGATGGGTATCATGAGAATTTTCGAGCTCTGTATGTATGTTGAACTTCTTTCACACCATATGTAGCCAACCGTGATAATGGGAGCTCTAATACAAAATATTAATTTGTGTTTCTAGGTGTAGTTGAACACGTAAGAATGTGCACTCTGTTATATATTCATATTAAAGCAAACTATTCAGTGGAATATTTTTGCTCACACAGACACAACGATTTAATATTTTAATACACCATTTTGCATGCAATTGGCTGTTCCATTGAATTTCCACTGCTACCCCATTGTCACTAAGAACATTGACCACCGGTGTTTGAAAATCGACAGCGGCGTTATGACATACCTCTGACTTTGAGTGAAATGAGTTAATTGGGAATGAATCCATAAGAAAATGCAAAAAGGTGGTTATTTACCAAATGTGTGAATGTTTACATCTTATTGTCTGCATTGCAGCTATATCCTGCGTCATTGGACTTAATGAAAATTGTGGAGAACTTCATTCATATTGTGGGAGCTGGCATAAAGTCAGTGCATACATCATACCTCATCACGGAAAACATAGGTAGGTTCAGCAAAAATCTATTATTGTCATTATTTCTACCCCGTGATTAGAAATCAATTATGCTGCCTCGTGAATAGAAACCTGGATAGTAACATAAGAGCAGTAATTGCAATGAGGTTGACAACTTGCTATAGTACAGACCACTTTGTTACTGATGTATTGCATACATTTGGAACATTTTAAAATTGCTGATATGTGAGCAGTCGTTCAGTGGAAACGTAGTAAATCAACACTTAAATGATAAAAATGGATACATGATGAAAAATAAGTATAAAGTAAAATAATTTATGTATAAAATAAAACAATTAGGAACTGTGGTATTTGATTATAGGAAGGCACATTTAGAAACATGCATTTAGTGTTTGGCTGCTAAAAATGTCCACGTGAAAAGCCACATTGTTGAGCTATCATTTGTTTTCAGGTCTCTTCTGAAAAAAAGAGCTACAGAGCTCAGTGTGCCTTGCCTGGTGAAATAAATGAAAACATTTGATTAGTTTGAACACTCCGACTGTTCACGTTAAAATGTGTGTGCATTTAGCCAAGGGCTTCGAACACCAAATGATACGCTGTCGGCCCAATCCCGCTTCACAGTTATCAGTATCCGCAAGCTGTTCATCATGGAGGAAACGGCCGACATAACGTTTCCGGTGAAGGCGAGGAGAGGCATGGTGGAGTGGGCGCGCAACACCGAAGACAAAGTGACCATCTCGAAAGCGACCCTGTCATCATTCACGTCAGGTAAGCTCATTGCCTGAAGCGCGCCTCCCCGCACCCCATGACCTCCACTCTGGCACACAAGGCCGTCTGTCAGAATGCCTCATCAACCTCCGCTGCCTTCTCTGCTGCTGATCGTTTGGACTAGAACTCCCTTCCATCGACTGTATACACTAGTATTCTCCCTCTCTTTAAGTCCAAGTTTAAGCCTGGAATGATGGGCCAAAGTTGGGGCAACGTTGGTCCAACGGTTCCATCCACTTGCTAACTAGGCTCAAAATTGATATGTTTACTTGATAATGATTCCACTTCCACAAATCCCTTCTCATCCCCAAACTCCCTCTCCAATGTAAAATAATCTGAATGAAAAAAATGTCCCAAGTTTCCAAAACCGCACAGTGTGCACATTCCCCTTAACCCTTTCTCATTCCGATGACGTCTGTGTACGTCATAGAAACGTGTACATCATTGGAATGGAACCGGAAGAAAAAAAAAACAACGTTATCGCTACCAAGGCTCCCACAATACCATGTGGGAGGGCTTGTTGCCCAGTTTGGCACCAACTATCATAGAGTGTGGTCATGTGGCTACAGTTCTCTGCATTGAGGACAATGTCTTTAAAAACGACGCTGTGCCTGTCTAAATAAAATATATGCTGACCGCTTGCATGTTCTGAGATTTAGCGGTGAACAGGACTCATCCTGCAACTTGCAGTCGTTTCGAAATGGGAAAGGGTTAAGTATACACACAGCCTTGATATTTGGTCATTTTTTAGATGCTTGGTGAATCCGAACTGTTATTAGTCGTGTAGTGCACACACTGCATGGACAAGAGTCGCACCAAATGTAATGTTTTCAGCCCAAATAGAGTGCACATCAGTCAAGGTGAACGTAGCATTGAGGTTCAAAGAGAGCGGAGGTGAATCCCGCGGAATATTTGATTCCACTTTAATATGTCCATTCCCAATCAATAACACGATCAATTAATAGTTGGTTCCCTGATACAGGAACACGGTGTGGCATTCATCCCTTTCAGCAGACTTGAACTAGTGGTGGGAATTAAACATTTCGACGATGGTAAGCTGCCTCTTCTTAGAGCAACCACTTCTGAATCCCAACAAAGTGGTTCTCATTTGATCAATGGCAAACGTGAAACTCACACGTGCTCTTTAACTCAGAACCTATGACTGCAAGTTGAGCATCTTTCCCACATTATTTGGCTGACTCAAATAATGGTACCCACAAATGAAATATCCAAGCAGTGGCATGGCCCAATAACCCAACTGTTGGGTAATGTTAAGTTATTAACTTAATTTATACTTTTGGGTTTTAATCCCTTTATAATTTGGTGAGAATTACATCTCAAAACATTTGTCTGGAAGACAACACGTACGAAATGTGTTTCACAAGATAAGAAAAGAAGTTTCCTCCTGCCACAATGGCAAGATTGATGCTGCATTTTAGTTTGCATGGCAGCTAAATGAGAGCATGGGCACGAACAATAATAGACAATTATAAAGGTTTAAAGAAGGATACTAAATATAGGAACGCTTGCTTTTCATATCCATGGTGTTGATTGCTTGTTATTTTCCAGCCTGGGCCTTGGGTATTTTATATATATAATATTTCTACCGAAGAAAAGAAATGTCAAAACCCGTTCCAATTAGTAACGTAATGGAAACGTTATACGTAGAATCTCAATCGCAAATGTTGCTTGAACATCTTCTACTTGAGCACTTGCGGAATTACTATCTACATTAAGCTCTCCATCATGAAGTGATAAGCTTCACAATTAATACGTAACGTCTCCTGCTCCATGCAAACTGGGGTCGCGTGTGCGTGCAGTGGAAGCGGAGGCCTGCGCTCGGGGTGTGGGGCGAGCCCTGCATCGCCAAATGTCCCTCTGGTCTCTCATTCAAGTTAACGCCCCTTCGCAGTCTGATCACTGTTATGGTGCCCCCCCCCCACCACACGACGGCTCTGCTGATACCCCACCCTTCCCCCCCACCATCCGAGAGGAGCTGCTGCACTGGCCTGGTTAGGATGTGATAGGAGGCACGAGTCGCAGCATGGACCTTGTTGGAGGTGGTGGATTGTGGACGTCGGGAAAACTGTCAGCCTACTCCACCTCATATGGTGCCGTGGTTGCGAGATGTTAACTACCTCGCCTGGTATTGACGAGGTGGTGGGCTCGATCCCGTATATTTAGAGTTTACATGTTCTCCCAGTGGTTGCTTGGGTTTTTCTCCGGGTCCTCCGGTTTTTCCATCCACATTTAGAAGCATGCTTTTAGAGTATTTGGCTGCTATACATTTCCACATGACACTACATTGAGCTGTCATTTGTGGCCAGGTCACTTCTGAAAAAGAGATATATAGTTCAGTGGGCCTTACCTGGTAAAATAAAAATAGGTTAATAGGTCATAAGTACATCCCTCATCCTCCCGCTAATAACATTCTCTCCTTGCTCAGTCTGGATAGAATTCAAAAGCAGTTTAGTTGATTGATGAGGCTATGCTCAGTTAATTGCCCCAGTCACTTTCTAGACATTGTTCAATCTCGTCTCACCCTTATCTTGCAACTGCCAAAGTTGTAATTCTGGAGTTCATGCAATGAGTGCAGTCCTCTCTGTCTGCTTTGCATTTTGGTCTGTGTTCAGTAAATTGTATAAAAACACCTATTTTAATCAAACGAATTAGTTGGTGATGCCGTATTGGCAGTGGTGCACAAGCTAGATTTAACAAAAAAATAACTCAACACACAAACAACACTGCCTCAAGAGAAATGCAGTGTTGTTGATAAGTGTGTGGATTTTTCTAATTTTAAGAAAATGTATCTCCATACCCAAACACACAATGGGGCAGCGCTTATCTACATTGCTAGCCTCAAGCCAGTGAAGGAAATTCCACATTCCCATGGCAGGGAACAGACGCTCCATTAGGGTGGCCACTTGCGACGTGTGTCGTGAAGATAATTCACTGTACATGTGTTGATGCGCTTAGTTACTGTCAGGATCCTTTTGTTGCAAGGACTATGACTAACATGTGAATCACTAAATATTTTGCTACAATATAATCTAATCCTATGTGAAAATTTAAGCAAAGACTCATCCATTCAAAAATATTCAAGTGGACATGTGATGCAGAGTTCAAATGGGCAATTATTGATTTCAAACAAAAGGGAGAGAAAAGCAATTTTTGTACGGTTGTGAAAAGTGGGGATTTGAGATAGCTTTAGCTTGATAATTATATTATATAATCATCATTTCACACTCATAAGGCTACAAGTTCAAGTCCCTGCCAGAAGTTTGTTCAGGCATAGCAGTCTATTCTGCACAAATTCACGTGTATGCATGTTGCTTCCGTTATGCAAAACGATTACGAAAATTTGTTGCTGAATTTAGAACAAGGTTTGTGTTAATAATTTGGCGTCATCTGGTCGAGCACCAATTGGGTCGAGGCTCAAAAGAAAGTTGTCCCTTGGTGTGGACCAATCAGTTTCAAAGACAATGCATATATTATCGTAGCATATTTTTGTTTGCATTTTGACTGCAGGTATTGTGGTTAATGCGGACATGAATCCTCGTAAAAAGGTTTCAGTTTTGTTGCCAGAAAAAGGGGAAAAACCTTATTATTACATTTTGGTACTGGCAAAGGAGGTCTAATGATGAAGGTTTGTGTTGCTAAAAACTATGCAGGAAGCATCAGATTGGATGCAAGCACACACATGAATAACAATATAAAGAAGATGTGAATGAGGATTACGATGACGACAATTGTGTTCATGATGATGATGACGACAGTGATAAGGATGATGACAATTATGTTCATGATGATCATAATGATGATGGCAATTATGTTCATGATTATAGTGATAAGAATGATGAATATGTTGATTATGGTGTGAATGATGAAAACGATGATGACAAATATGATTTTTCTGTTACCACTTTTGCTGCTACTGATGATAACGAATATGCAGATTATTATCCATGTCACGATGCTCTATTCGCTCATCGTATATATAAATGAGGGCCAGCGAGTAGGGTTATTGCAAACAGTTTAGAGGAGGGAGGTTTTTTTTTGCTGAATCTGTATGAAAGATAAGGGAGCCAAGCAAACAAGATAATATAATACAATAACATGGAAAAGCAAATATGGGACGGAATAAGAAAGTCAATCAACGGAAAGGCATAAGACAACGTGCATAAGGGGGAGGACGTCTTAAGTGTGCACAACCAAAGATAGAGCGATCCAGGGGACAGCAGAGAAGGAGTTACCTCCTATCAAGTGGAAGTTGACTGAAAGTATCAATAGACGTGTCAATAGAAGTGTCAATAAATGCCAATGGAAGTAGTTGTTCCTGGAAGAGGGCAGAGTGAGACCTCCCGAGCAGTTAACCTTCCTGCCAGGAGTGACTGGCAGGAATTAAAGGTGTTAATAATTGCGTGTCAGAGCGTGTGGAAGATTACATTAATATGGTTGGAGAAAGCATCTTGTTGGTGAGATGCTTACCAATAATTGTTTAGATTTTAAGTCTAAATCCCAACCGCCATAATGAATACATTTCAATAGTGAGGGGAGTAAAGAGAGATGATTTAAAATGGGTAGGTACTGCTCAATCGATAAACGATGTTAAACACCTTAAGTGTGACCTGTTCGTCGGTCCAGGTATTGTATTGTCAAGCTGAACGTTATCTTATTCCCATACACAAGATCATGCATACAGATGTAAAAGATATTACTGGTTTCTTTGTGATTAATATAAAATAGCAATTCGAGTGTGCAATACAACAATACCTAAGAATGCATCTACTAATGCCACAGCATGTGCCAGGATAACGATATCCCTAACAGGCCATTGGTTTACATTTAACTTCATCAACAAATGTTGTGGTCACTGCTTTCCCATCTGTGTCATCGCACTGCTGTGACATCAATGCAATTTTGGTAACGTTTCTGTGCGGCTTATCCGGCAAACACACACTTAACCTGAATTCCATCCCATAACAGCCTCTACTGCATATCCTCTTACAGCCCTTCTTTTTTAGTGTGGTGACAGACAATTATTTAGGGCAGCCAGCAATTCTGAACAAATGCATGCAGTCTCAGATGACATTCTTCGTGTTATCTTTAACTGCTGTAAATGCCCAATGGGAACGAAAGATGAAGAAAACAGCTGCCTGTTTGCATCCCGATAATTTCTTGAAAGGGAAGACAAAGGATTGTCCATGGCCCTCGTTTGTGAGTTCAATGGCGCTAACAATGCCTTGCCTCCGCAACCGATACAGTGTACGAAGCCTTAGATAGGACTGGCGATGTGCCAGGGTGCTCCCTGAGCAGGTCCACTTTGTTTATTCTATGATCTTATCCATACACAAAGCATCCTAGTGGAGGCTCACGTCTTGAAGAGTGACACAGTTTTTTTTTCTTTTCTTGGGCCAACGTTGGACACAGTTTCAATGCAACAGCATCACCGCTTTTATGAGATGCTCTTGTCACAGTAGCCAGCACTTACCTATCCCAATATTTGGCCACTTAATTGTTTTTGTTAGTTGCAATGTTATTGTTACATCACGCTTCACGTTTGAATAAGAACTCGATGTGGATTATCACTTGTTAAGAATACAATATCATGGCGTGAACAAGCATAATGTATTAACGTACAGTGAGGGAAAAAAAGTATTTGATCCCCTGCTGATCTTGCACGTTTGCCCACTGACAAATAAATTATCAGTCTATAATTTTAATGGTAGGTTTATTTGAACAGTGAGAGACAGAATAACAACAAAACATCCAGAAAAACGCATGTCAAAAATGTTATGAATTGATTTGCATTTTAATGAAGGAGATAAGTATTTGACCCCCCTGCAAAACACGACTTAGTACTTGGTGGCAAATCCCTTGTTGGCAATCACAGAGGTCAGACGTTTCTTGTAGTTGCCCACCAGGTTTACACACATCTCAGGAGGGATTTTGTCCCACTCCTCTTTGCAGATCTTCTCCAAGTCATTAAGGTTTCGAGGCTGACGTTTGGCAACTCTAACCTTCAGCTCCCTCCACAGATTTTCTATGGGATTAAGGTCTGGAGACTGGCTAGGTTACTCCAGGACCTTAATGTACTTCTTCTTGAGCCACTCCTTTGTTGCCTTGGCCGTGTGTTTTGGGTCATTGTCATGCTGGAATACCCATCCACGACCCATTTTCAATACCCTGGCTGAGGGAAGGAGGTTCTCACCCAAGATTTGACAGTACATGGCCCCATCCATCGTCCCTTTGATGCGGTGAAGTTGTCCTGTCCCCTTTGCAGAAAAACACCCCCAAAGCATAGTGTTTCCACCTCCATGTTTGACGGTGGGGATGGTGTTCTTGGGGTCATAGGCAGCATTCCTAATCCTCCAAACAAGGCGAGTTGAGTTGATACCAAAGAGCTCCATTTTTGGTCTTATCTGACCACAACACTTGCACCCAGTTGTCCTCTGAATCATTCAGATGTTCATTGGCAAACTTCAGACGGGCATGTATATGTGCTTTCTTGAGCAGGGGGACCTTGCGGGCGCTGCAGGATATCAGTCCTTCACGGTGTAGTGTGTTACCAATTGTTTTTTTGGTGACTATGGTCCCAGCTGCTTTGAGATTATTGACAAGATCCTCCCGTGTAGTTCTGGGCTGATTCCTCACCGTTCTCATGATCATTGCAACTCCACGAGATGAGATCTTGCATGCAGCCCCAGGCCGAGAGAGATTGACAGTTATGTTGTGTTTCTTCCATTTGCGAATAATCGCACCAACTGTTGTCACCTTCTCACCAAGCTGCTTGGCAATGGTCTTGTGACCCATTCCAGCCTTGTGTAGGTCTACAATCTTGTCCCTGACATCCTTGGAGAGCTCTTTGGTCTTGGCCATGGTGGAGAGTTTGGAATCTGATTGATTGATTGCTTCTGTGGACAGGTGCCTTTTTTACAGGTAACAATCTAAGATTAGGAGCACTCATTTAAGAGTGTGCTCCTAATCTCAGCTTATTACCTGTATAAAAGACACCTGGGAGCCAGCCATCTTTCTGATTGAGAGGGGGTCAAATACTTATTTCCCTCATTAAAATGCAAATCAATTTATAACATTTTTGACATGCGTTTTTCTGGATTTTGTTGTTGTTATTCTGTCTCTCACTCTTCAAATAAACCTACCATTAAAATTCTAGACTGATCATTTCTTTGTCAGTGGACAAACGTACAGAATCAGCAGGGGATCAAATACTTTTTTCCCTCACTGTATACATAATGTCATACTTTAGAAAATTGAACTTCTAGTTACATTCAGATATGACTCATTCTCGAAAAGCCAGTGAGTAAAAATAAGTATCGAGATGTGAAGTTATAGCTGACAACACTTTTGCAACTGCGAACTTCATGCAAGTTATTGTAATGGAACGTTTTAAAAAAAAAGAACGTGAAAAGAATAACCACAAGAATAAATATATATTTTTTAAAAACATGTTCATTTGAACGAAGTACAGCCTAATAGCAATGTGAGCTTGTGAAGAAATGTCATCCTATTAGTCAATTAAAGCACTTGTGATCATTGTCCCGTACCCCCCAACCTAGCCTAGATCCCTGCCTCGTGATGGTTTGCTTTTCTGAGGACGGACACTAGGCTGCAATAGTTAGGAAAAGGCAATTATTGGCACCTGGAGAGAGAAGGGCAAGGAAAGTGCAACAAAATGTGCTGAGGCAGTGTGGAAATGAATTGCCCATATTTGCTCAGTTTGGGCTCAGTTTTTGACTCAGGTTGAGCCAAATCTGGGCATCAGCATCACAGTGGGATCCTTTTGAAACAGATTGTGAAAATGTGGGATAAGTCTTGGTTAAACTAGCCCTTTATCACAGCGCTGTATGCAGTTAGGCGCAACACATACATTCAAACACCACTTTAATCCCTCCAGTTCGCACAGCCCCATCAAGTCTAACTCCCCCACTCCCATTCGCCTTTCATATGAGATGTGCCTTTTTTTAATGTTACAATGGAAATTTTACTAATCTTCCTACCATTTTCAATTAAAATTTGCAGTTTAAAGGCGGTACTTTTTATTAATCTAATTTAAGCAGCTCTCACGGAGGAATGAAATTCACGATCCTTAACAATTTGACATGTTCTTTTGTTTTTGCGTAGTGGTTGTTACATTGCATTCATGTTGAAATTGGTGTTCCCTTATCGATTGTCATGTGCTCATTAGGCATGCAGGAGTCAGCAGTTGTTGGGAATGTGCTTTATAAGACACTCGGAAGCATTCTTCCACCTCCAAGGTTAGTACATATATCGGTGCTAGTAAAGTATTCCTCCGTTAAAATCGTACAAGAGAAATCAATGTGTGTAGGGAGTTATGGTGTGGTTGAGGGGACGGAAATGCAGCGGTTAGCATGCTGCACGACTAACCAGTGACCTGAGTTGATTTCCGCTCACGGCCAACACCATTGACAATTCATTTCTGAACCAGTCCTGGGCCTCCCCTCCATTGGCTCAGCCTCAAATGAGTATCTGGTGTGATGTGCAAACATCTCCACGAAGGAGACAAAGGCGGTCGGGCATGGTTCTGGCAACCCACCCCTTCATATAGCATGCTGGCCTTTATAGGTGCTCGCTAACAGCACTTTCCCAGAAAGTCAGTTGAGGCTATAAGGAGGATATGTATCCTTTTGTGGAGTCGTGCACTTTGCTCTAAACCCTGAAACCTGGTTTGGATTTTTTGGCCATAGAAAACATGAGTGGCGAATAGTACTCAAACCTTTCCTTTGTTTTCAATTGGTTATGTCGACTTTACACGACCACTCAAAATTATTACTTGCGTAATTGCGGGAAGAAAAAAATACATAATAGATAAGCGGACAATATGTCTCCATATATTTGTGGAGACATATATAAAGGGGACATATCTGATCATCTAGTTTGTTAAATCAGCACTCACTGCTTTGTGTACGCATATATACTCGTGGAACAAAAGTGGCTGGGTATGGTGTTGGTCACACATCTCCTTGTGTGCTATGCTGTCCTTCATAGGTGCTCACTAACAACAATTGACTCTACACCCTATTGGGCTAAGCAGGATATATGTAATTTGTATGTGTGGTTGCATCTGCGTGTGTTTCCGTGTGTACACATAATTACAACCAACATTTAATTAAATAACCGAAAGTAGCATGATGTTTTAATTGTTCATTGGGTATTTGAACACGGAACATTATGCTGTGCGATTACCCCCCCCCCCCCCCCCACTGTGTTTACAATAATACCTATGCGATACGCGTTGCCATGGCCAGGTATCTGGGTGGTTATTGTACTTGCCACTGAGACACTTTGCAATGGCTCAATCGTTTGATTCCTACTGCTGATTGCTTGTGCTATGGGAAATTGCCAGAGCATCCGATGGCTGTGCAGGGGATATTGAGATCACAGACAATCATGTCCATTTGTTATGATCCAAATAAGCATATCTAAATTAACTAAAAACGAAAGCTGTATCAATTAGTAACATTTGTATGTTCACTACCAGTCTTCTATGATTGTAAATCAACGTATTGAGAAATTATTATAAAAAAATTGTAAATATTGCTATTGTAAATATTGCTATGTGTATACATAGATATTACAATATGGCATTTACAGTGTTAAGCGAACATGTATATACAGCATGCGGGGTAGTTGGGGCGATAGCGTGTGGGTGGCGCGCTGGTGCAGCAGTTCGCGCACTGCGCTACAAATCCAGCAACCCGAGTTCGAGTTCCTCTCACGACCAAACTAGTGAGGATGATCTGAACCAGTTCTGGGCCTCCCCTAGGTCGACTTAGCCTCAAATGAGTACCTGGTGCAATGTGTAAAGATCACTACTCGGAAGACGAAGGCGAGCACGTGTGGTGCTGGCCACCCACTCCCTTCGTATGCCATGTCGGCCTTCATAGGTGTTCACGATAACAGCACTTGCCCCAACAGTCTGGTAAAGGCTATACCGGGGATCTTTGCCTTATACAGCACACGATATGCATGTGTATAATATGTACTTTAACTTTACATAGCATATAGATTCATTAAATTCTAAAACAATGTATCCCTGATTCAAAATCAATGTACCTCTGTGAACCAGTCTCACCATAGGACAACCACTATTATATTTGCATGATTTGGTAGTTATTTTATCCACGTAATAATGATGATGGACCGAATCATCCCATGACAAAGATTGTAATATAATATGCACTATATTATATTAAAACATATTTCCAACGTGACAAATGTATATATGTTTATGTTTTGAAGAAAAAATACCATACAAATCACGGGTTTATAAAATGCCCGCGTCTGACAAGCTGCCGCTTTACTATCCCCCCCCACAGGAATGCGAGTGCTATAAACTCACGGGTAATTTCCGTTACCGTGAGCCCGACAATGAAAACCATTACCCCTCCAATTGAAATTGTGTTCTCACATCTACTGAACGTAAGTACAAAATATCAACAAACAAATCTGGAAAATGCACGTGCGTACACATGCATTGGCTCCTGCAAGAGCAATTATATATCAAGTTTGACATCGTAAGGCATGTGCTGCAATAGACATATGCTTGTTTGGGTCTGCCTTATTTTTCACAAATCGGAAATGTGTTCATAACACGTTCACTTGAGCTTAGATGAACATTTAAGGAAGTGAGAGCCTTTCCTACGCAAATCAGTGTGCCGGTGTGCGCACCTCATCATGTGACCTATTGCCAGTTGTGAAAATTCCACACTCATTCATATACGGTAACAACCACCTCATGCATTGCCTGGTAATCATCATCATCATGAACAGCCGTTGTCTTGAAAGAGATTTCAAAACTGTGTACGTGTCCAGCCCTTTTTCAACCGACTGCTGGATGAGGGCCTACCTACACTGCGCAGGCCATTGGGGGTTATTTAACCATACTTCACCATGATGGTCAGTGGACGTTTTGGCGAAGGCGGTGAGCATAGACATGAAAGCAGGGGGTCGCTCGGACCTTCCTCGAGGCCTGGGGCAGAATGCTAAATGGGGGCTCACGTATTCAATAGCAACAATAAAAACACGCCCGGTGTGGGTTTCTGCTCTTTGTAAGTCCTCGACAAACTGCCTCTTTTGCCCCCCACCACACGTCAACTCTAGATGACCCTGTATGCAAGCATACAAGTGCAGTACAACAACGAATGTTGGTACACTTCCCACCACATAGCCCCACAGCCAGATGACAACACTTGTGTGCCTGATGGGCATCCATACATGCACTTTCCAATCTCAAACGTTCGTATTTTTGGAGATCAGACAAACATTGGACATTCTGGGTGATTTCTTCATAAGCTTCAAGACTATCATCCGTAAATCCAATGTTCTTTCAGTTCATAGTAAGTGCCAGCTCACACACACAGATTAAAATACTCAAATAGGATTATCCTGACACCACAGGCAGGGACTTAGTAAAACAAGTCTCATAGACTTAATTGAGTAGATATTCTTGGTTCTTTCGGTAAAGTCACGTAGAAGAGAAACAATAAAATAATAAAAATATAAAACAATACAATTATCACGACGTTTCGACTGCAACACAAATAATTATCATCAGGTGTGAAAACCACAGCAAGAAAATTTGAAAAAAGTGGCGTTTTTTTTTACATTAGCACCACGGAGAGCGATTTGGCAGTTATTCAGATGGCCGAGTTCATCTATGTTCGGACAAGAGGAGGGGGGAGACGAAAATAATGCATGCGGTCTGAAAGCCACCGTAAGCGTGAACAATCAATTAAGACCCGAAATGGTTTATCAAATCCTTCCAATGATTGCTAAGCCAGAATCTATCTTATCGGTTGAAATTGTCTCTGTTTGTATATGTGGATAGCCTCATGAACGAATCTCTCATGGTAGCCAGATGGCTTGCAGAGAACCTCTGTCTTGGAGAAGTCAAGACAGAGGTTCTCTGCAAGCCATCTGGCTACCATGATAGATATTCATACATGAGAACCAAGAACATGAATCCCCTTGAAATATTCATACATGGATCCCATTTTCTGGCTTCAAATACATGTTGTTTTTAATAGTCAAATCCTAAACTTCAACATATGAGCACAAAATATATATTTAGGCTCCACACATAAGCTAGGTATTAGAATGCTTAATTTGACTTCCTGTAGTATTATATCAGTGTTTTACTATATATGATGAGCACAACCACAGCAATAATCATGTAACATTACGCATGTGTGAGTTATCTTGTGGTTTGTGCCATTTCATGCAGATATAACGAAGCCAAATTCTCTATATATCGCCTTTCCCCTTCTGCTATAAATGACTGTCTGCCATCTGTTCTATATTTAATAATAATGTTGTTGTCCACATAATTGCACACATGACTGGTCATTGTGAATTAAAAAAAAAATGTGTGACGTACCCATACTCTTTGGTTCTTTCGGTAAAGTCACGTGGTAGGTATAAAATAAAATAAGAAATAAATCACGACGTTTCAGGTGCAACACAAGCGTCCGTCACCTGATGACGGACGCTTGTGCTGTGCCCGAAACGTCGTGATTTTTATTTATTTATTTATCTGCCTATGTGACTTTACCGAAAGAACCAAAGAGTATGGATTCCTGCAGTCACGAAAGCTTCAAATCAAGATATGACATACCCCTTTAATGCATTTCAATTTGTGATGATTCATGGTTCCGGTTTGCTCGCAAAACTTATTTGCATATAATTGTGTCCCTCAATCATTGTTTTTGTTCAGCAACCTCATTGTTCATCTCTTCTCTATGCTCATATATTTTTTTATGGGACTTTTAATCCGTTTCAGGCTCTTACATTGTTTGAATAAACACGTCATCGTAATGAAAAGATGATTTACGTTTGATTTTAAATCACGACACATTGGCTCCACGCTCAAACAAAGTGACCGGGGTGGTGTTCAACCCCAAAAACACCGTGAGCTAACGTTAGACATTCCACGCGGCTATGACAGAATACACTTTGTCCAGAGGATGCTAACGCTACTTATTAAAATATTGCTCTGAGACACGAAGGGATATTGCTGCGGTTTTTTTTATGTAAATAACTTGACTGACACCCGGGCACATTCTGTATTGTTCACAGGTGACGTCCAATTCGTTTTGCGTAATTTGGAACAGTACAAAAAAGTAAGTGCGAACGCGAGCACCTGCAAACAACCCATGACTTTGAATGATTCACACCACGGTACGGAGTGACCAATTTGGGAAGCTGCACCACTTGCACGTGTAATTCGGAGCTTTCCAGAGTGTAGCCGTCAAGGGGAAAAAAACAGTTTATTTTAAGATTGTTATGCTTAATTTCTGGAAAATTTAGTTAACAAAAATATTTTCGTAATTACGGATGTGCATTTTGAGATGACGTGATCTTTAAATGAGGCAATTAAGTCACTTTTGGACATAATCGGCCAGGACTTGTGGAAGACCCATATATCAAACTGCCATCCTTGGCTTTAAAATGAAGGCAAGCGAATCAGCACCAGCATATTGTGGACAGCCAATTACTTTTAATGCATTTTATATAAGCTTTGAAAGTAAAACTAATCACGTCTGGTTACTGCGAATCCAAAATAAGGATATAATTAGGAAAACTAAAACAGACTTCATCACAACAATCATTGACGCATTTGAATGATGCTTTTAAACATTTTACTTTTGGATTATAGAATCATATATGTGTAGTGCCTTGGATTCACTCGGACGACAAATGTATGCATGCATAAGAGAATGAGAAGGTTACCCCTATAACATCAACAGATTGTTGAGAAAAGTGTGGTTAGCGAGCACCTATGAAGGCCGGCACAGTACACGAAGGGGAGTGTGGGTATCACCACGCCTGGCCACTTTATCTCCCTCGTGGCGATGTTTACACACCACACCAGGTACTCATTTGATGCTGAATCAACCTAGGAGAAGCCCAGGACTGGTTCGGATAATTGTTACTGGTGTAGTGCAGTGCATACATGCAAAAAGACAATGACAAAATACCCCCAGTATTGCTTAAACAGACGATTGGGGAAGTGCTGTTCGTGAGTTGCACCTATGAAGGCCAGCATGGCACACGTGGGAGTGGGTGGCCAGCACCGTGCCCGGTCGCCTTTGTCTCCCTAGGGGCGATGTTTACATATCGCACCAGGTGCTCATTAAAAGTTTAATATACCTTTTGAGGCCAATTGAAACTGCAAAAACGAATTACCACTGAATAAAACTCACGTCACTACGAATTACACTGCAGTGCACTAACCACTGTACCACATAGTCACACATGTCCATACCGACGGCTTTACTTGACTGACATGGGTTTAGTTGGAACACCATTAAATAGACAAATGGATCCGGCATGGATGTAAAGATGATCATTGTTGTGAAGTCCAGTCTTGTTTACTCTGCTGATTATTTGTAAAAGGCAATGGTTATATTAAGTGGAGCACATTTATTATAATCATGGACTTTTACAACTAATCAGTCAAAATCCTAGTCATCGTTTATCCAGGGTCAATTAAATAATTACCACTTGGTGGGAAGTCAGCAGTGGTCATCCTATGGACACTACTGACCCAGTCATGAGAAAGTGGAAATTAAACCACGAGCTAAGAGCCACCAATATAGATGAGCACTGCCTCATTGCTCATTTGAGTGAAGTTCTTTCACTCTAGGCTATATATACGTACTCTTTATGCAATGCATTGCATATGCTGTGGGAAACATAACTGAAGCGATATAAATTCAAATCCATGTGAATAAATAAAATAATAATGACGATAACCAAAAAAACACAAATTAGACCAGCATTGACAAGCACGGCCAATACAGCTGCGTTTTTTCTGTCAGTAGCAAATGCTAATGTGCCGTGTTTGTAAAATGTGTAAATCTCCCTAAAGGGAGTGCGATCGGTCAATACCCTGTCGGCAGATTAACGCGATGAACCGGCTGCAGGGGAAGCCTTTGCGTCAAAACAAAGTGACATACTGTAGGGCACGGCCCTCGTGAATGTCTACCCAGGGGCAGGGTTAAAGGTGGTCAATATGGGGCTGCGATCGTGGTACAGATGTGGTGGGTGGTAAAACAACAACAAAAAGCCGCCCGAATCAAAACCGTCCTCCCTCTCGCGATGGTTAAAGCTCGCATATCATCCCAGAGAATGCACTCAGGATGCTGTCACAGGGCTCTGTGAATACGTGAGCTGACGTCCACTCGCACCACGTCGACATACATGTATAGTTATTTAATTAACAATTTCCCCTCGTGTGTCTGCTGCTCTAACTGCGCGAAAGGCACGCGTAAAAAGGGAAAATTAGGGCACGGAAATGGCTTTTCATCCCTGCTCGCAAAAGCCACCGATGGCAGTGCCGGCTTTACGCGCATGCCGAATAATGCCCTCTGCAAAGGAATTAGTATGCATGTTGAGCATATCGCGATTGAATCGTGCGTGCTGTTTTCAACGTCGGCGGCCAGACCAGGAATCGACTATCGGGCAAGTCAAACCGCGTTAGGAAGGCATCGTATCAAGAAGCTGGTCCCCAGAGAGCCACAGTTATCACTGTTGTCATGCTTCATTAAGCACTGTTCTGCGCCGTAGCTCTTATTTTAACAGCGTGCTGCCAAGCTGTGTAGGTCAATGCCTTGAAGAAAACATTTTAAATCTTGTGCAAAATGGGGAATGTGCGACGGGCACATTGTAAATGTTGTTAATCGTCAAGATGCTTATATTAATTATCTTTCGTGTAATAAAAAAAACACGTATGTTAATTTGACTCGGTGATAATTATTTTCTTTTGTTTATATTTGCATACATTTGTGCACACAATCATACTCGATCAAGCACATTCGGCCACGATGACATGTGTGTTAGAACAGCGAATGTGCTGTTCAGGTCAAATACCCAACAGTACACATCGGTATAGCCACGGGCAATGTGACAGCATTTGCAGTATGATGTTTAGATGAGTATAGAATGTTCTGTCTAGCGTTTTATAGGTCGCATCTCCTAGGAATATCCATGTATGCTAATGCATCGAGCCTCCATAGATGGATGAACACTCGATACAAAAAAATAAAACACAATTTACAAAAAAAGAATCATTAAAACAAATTGACAATAATAAATTGTCAATATTTGCAGCCATTTTTTATATATATCTGGTTTGTTGTCCCCCCCCCCCCCCCCCCCCCCCATTACATCTTTTCGTCTGTTTGTATTCGACGAGCTGAATTATTGAAGCAGAAAATGTCCTTGGAACATTTCGTGAAAAGTGTTCATGCATCTACAACCACACGCAATGATGCATTTCTATCACTTAATTATTTTGCAGGCATGCATAGATATACAAACAACAACAAAAGACAAAGTCTCTCCAGTTAGCACAAACGACTGAAGGGGCAAGCATTCTTAGTGAGTGCTTATCACGGATGACACAACGAAGTGATGTATAGCCATCTGTGTTTCCCCAGTACTGATGTGTACACACCAAATACTATTTAGGGCTGAGTTGACCTTGGAGAAGTCGAGGACAGATTTAGAAACGACGTTCCACTGATATGGTACATTGCCAGGAATTAAACCCGGGTGTCTGGGATCGGTGTGCAGGGCGCGAACCAATACACAACTGCTTCCATCCGCACACACACCTACAAATTCGCACCACTTGCATATGGATGAATCCCAAGTACATTTGATGTATCTCATTTTATATACACACACTACAATGTGAAAGACATAGACAAGGATACTGTACAACTCGATATTAAAATTGGAGAAAAATTTTACACGTCGCTACTGCCCCTGCCGAGTAATAAATCGACGTTGTGCCCCCACATCCCACCATCCCCACTCACCCCAATGCCCCCCTTCTCTCCAACAACCGCCAACCCTATCCTGCTTTAAACTTCCATTCACCTTCCACCACTCACCAACCCACCCACCCCAACCAACCCACTCCACATCTCCCCAACCAACCCACTCCACATCTCCCATCTCATCTGCCCGCTCCTGCCACCCCGTCCCCCCATCCCATCTTCTCCCTCCCATCTTTCTCACCCCATCGTGACTGGACCCCCCCCCCCACCACCACCACCACCCCACGACTCTCCATCCCCCTCCTGGTCCCACCGCGTCACCCCCCCCACCCCACCACCACTTTCCTCCCACCGCCTCCCGTTCTATGCGGGGCGGCAGCGGCGAGGGGAGCTGGAGCGAGAGGGGCTGCCGAGCTGCGATCAGCGACGCAGCTCACACGCGCTGCCTGTGCGAGCGCGCCTCCGCCTTCGCCATTTTAGCGCCGCTCTCCGACGAGCAGGTACGTTCCGCGCGCCTTCTCATCGATGCGCATCCGCGCGCCCCGTCGCTACCCACAACACCACCACCACCAGCACCGCCAGCTCTCAGCGCTTCCTCGCTCGTACCAACCCCCCCCCCCCACCGTGCCTCTCTTCACCGAGCGCTCTTCTTCGTCCACTTCCAGCTGCGCGCATTTACAAAAAAAAGCCGAAATGCCCCGCGCTTGTCAACCGTTGGGTGGGCTCTGCTTGCAGGACGGACGCCACGGTTAATGAGTTTGTTTATTCGCGTGTTATTTTTAGCTGTTGTTGCTGGTATTTGCACAATGCAGTGGTCGTAACTATACATGCATGACAAACGGATGTGCATGTGTGTGTGTGTTTGCTTAATATGAATTGGTCGTGTTTGGAGTGTATCGTGCGTTAACACGCTGGTTTAATTTCTCAGATGTCTAGCGCACTCGTGGAATTCATGTATTCACGCGCACATGATATCAATGTAACTGCGTCCCTGTGAATGCATAAATGAGCAACCTGTACATGTCAGCCAAATGTGTGCCTGGTCACGGTGAATGATGGAAACCGAAACAACCATCACAAGATACAACTGCGATTATTAGTGCTATTTTTTTTTTTAAAACACATACAACGGGTAATTGACAGTGTTTGCCGTGCACTGACCAAATCTGCGACGAAGCGTATATCGCTGCTGTGAGAAAAAAAATCTCGTGCCGCCACTCTCGCGCGTAGCGAGTGACAGCCGCTGGCTTGCGCGCAGTTGTGTTTTAATTTGCGGACGGCACAATTTATCTCGACTCTTTTTTTTTACTTTGACTCGCATGCCTCTTTGTTTTGAAGCGTAGCTTGCAAAGGGGCTTCGGCCGTGGCCTTAATTACCCCGGTGACAAAATGTGCATCGGTTTAATAAAACAAAGGCGACCGATGCCGTTGGTGTGGCACAGATTTGGATGCGAGCCGCGCGGCTAATTATTTTGACGGAAGCGACCATGCAGCCTCTATTGTCATGCACGATTATTGACACTCGAAAAGGGAAATTGAATCCCCCCCCCCCTTTTTCCCCCCTCTCTCATTTATAATTTCTGCGCCCATCCTACTCTCGCCAGGACAATGCAATATATACTAACACGGTTGCAAGTGAGCTCCGTGTAAATCAGTTGTGGAATTGTGTATGCTACGCAACTAATAATCTGACTGACAACACGTCCTATGTTACATGCATTTAAAGTAATTATTTGCTGACCTGTCTTTTTTTTAGGGGGGTGGGTGGCACTCAAGCAACACTTGGTTACAAGGAGAGCTGCTTTGAATGTGGCTATGAAGCGCAGTCTACTTTAATTATGCGACGTGTTCTTACGTCCTCTGAACCGTGCAAGTGATAGTAGCCACGTGCCTCGTTAATTTCCAATCTGCGCGCCGTTTAATAGGCAGATGCATGGCGTAATTAGACCCCCGAAAAAAAGGAAATGCGCGGATGGGGGTGTGGGGCAATGATAAAGAATGCCATATCCCGCACGTGGAAGCAGTTACACTAATTCAAATAGACACATTCATTTGCCCACCCATTTACACCTTTAACCTCTGTGTATTGTGGCGTGTGACAATTGCCTATGCGTGATGCGTACATGCGCATATTTTGTTCGTGTGCACTCGCACAATCATTTTGCCATCTAATTATCCGCTTCCACCCCCCAGAAACATTTTTATTTATTTGGCATCTTCTGAAATTCTGATTGAATGCCCTTAACCTTTCCCACTCTGACTTTAATTTGTTTTCTCGATGCTCAGAGAAGAGAACGTCATTTTTTGCGCGACTCTCTTTTCTCCCTAATTAGACAACATGACCAAACGTCTGCCTAAAAATTGCCACCGCGTGTGCAATTAGCACTTCCTGCGCTTTTAAATTATCAACGTTGACATTGTGTTTTAATAAATGCGGTCATCCTTTGGAATTGGAGCACAGGCAGAACCGAATTTGTTTATGGCCAGGAGGGTAATGCATCATCCACTGGAGGCGGACACCATTGTCAGCAATAGTGCATGCAGTTGGAGCACACCGACCTGTGATGTCCGCATGAAGACATTTAAATGGCAAGAGTAATGATTTCTTAGTGGCAATAGTGTTGCTTGTTTACCCACACACATTTACCATACCCTAGCTGATAAGCAGGGGTAGGACAATGTATCAATCAATTATATTGATTCAAATGCTCCCGATATATGCGTGAAATGTTGCGTATGAGAATAGTTTTATTTATATATAATGCAGCCACTAGAGGCCCTAACATTCATCAAATCGTAGTAAAGAAGAATCTTTGGATTTAAAGCTTTCGTGACTGCAAGGATTCATCTTCTTTGGTTCTTTCGGCAAAGTCACGTAGAATGAGAATAAAATAATAAATTGATAAAATAAAATAACACAATAATATTCTCACGACGTTTTGGCCACAACACAAGCGGCCTTCATCAGGTGAAGGGGACGAGACTGTCTGGAGGACAGTCTCGTCAATTTATTATTTTATTCTCATTCTACGTGACTTTACCGAAAGAACCAAAGAAGAGGAAAAAAAGAAGAATCTATTATTGAATCAAATGACAACTCTGAAACCTGGAAGTTAATCAAATTGGTTATCGAATTGGGGTGAGTCATTCTAAGCGCTACTGATAACCTAACCATTGTGTAATAGACAGGGTTTGTACACGTTTCAATATTTAGCTTCGAGTAAAATTATATCACGACCCAAATAGAGGGGCTCATCTTCATTGGTGGACTTGAGCGTGTGGTGTAAAATAAACTCCACATTCCTTTGGCATGAGGTAATCTGTCCAAATAAGATTTGACACAACACATCTACACCTCTAAATAAGCAACGAAACAGGTGGACTTCTCCACAAATCTGGCTGTCGCCTGATGTTGGGCAAACAGGACAAATGATCAGCACGGGACTAAAAGAACATCAGATAAATATTAAATACACGCGTGCGAACAAGAACACTCAATTAATTTTTATAATGTTGAAGTTCTGTGCAAAACTAGCTACGACTGGCCAAGACTAATTAGAGAATCTGTCGAAATTGAAAGAAATTAAAAATAATTTTAACCGTTTGGATAGCTACCAACTTAGTGCTGCGTGGAAGCAAATCATCAAATAATGCATTGTTTAAAATCATGTCTATACAGAGTACCATATTTCAATAGGGATTACTGTTGATACGACTATTTTAATACAAAATGGACAGGAAGGACAAGATCAAAGGGCTCGCAGACGTGTGGTCACCACATCTATGCCTCTATATAAGGAACGAAACAGGTGGACTTCACAAATCTGGCTGTCGCCTGATGAAGCTAGTTGTTATTACTGGCGAAACGTCGTACTCAGATTGTAAATCTTGTGGCTTGGCTCTCCAACACACAATGGTGTGCTGTACTAGTGACCAATTGGCATGTTCTGTTTACGTGACAACCCTTACTAGTTGGCTGTGTCGGGTGGTGGCGGGTTTTAACGACACATATGTTTACGCGATCTAACCCAAAAACTTCTTATGGATAAGATTTGAAGTTTGTTTCACCCAGCCGGTCACAGGAAGAAGGCTCTCCTTGACTCTGTTTCTGTCCAATTTGAAACAAAACTCGACGAGAACGTTAGCCAAACATCCAAATGTAGGACTTTTCCGAAAGCTTTAAACTTCGAATTAATGCATTAAGGACGATTGTCATAAGGGTTTAATTTCCCACTCAATATTTTCCAAACAAATCGAGACTGGATTGGAGTAGGTATTTTTGGCATAGGGTACTACCACTACTGTTAGACGACAACGTATGCTGATACATAATTATTCTATATTTTCGTACCCTATTTTATTACATTCCTATGAACAGGTAAAATCACACAATAATGTAAGGTGGATGAGGTGTGCCAAAGTAATTCCCAAAACAGTATTCTGGACGATTAGGCTGAAATTAAGCACTGATTATGAGTGTTGAAGTAAATTCCCACTCAGCGGTCATTTGAGTTAGCCGTAGCTGTGAAATGACCTTCATGGTGTCTGTAAGCTGACCATATGGCTACGATGCTAACATCAATTACTGATTGAGGCTTTCTACATTTATATCAGTCAGTGACTCAATAACTCAATTTACTCTGTTAACCATGGTATATGGCCGTTAAAATAATCTTCTGTATGCCAAAAAAAATCCTATTTAAAGCCAATTTCTTTTTTATATAGATTATGGTGCCAGTCAACAATTTATTAGTATTTTTATATTAACTTGTTTGTAATGAAATCTTGATGAAAGCAAATAACAGCAGTGAGATTACGCATGCCCATTGTTTTGTCAGTAATTGATCAAATTCGCTATTCTTAAGGGTTGGCCGATGGTCAAGAATAGTGATGGAGTGACAGCCAAGGTACGGGATGCATCCTAGAGGGCCACCAACCGAGGAGATGGAGTGATTAAATTAGCTTGTGTTTAGGTGCTGGGTGAATTGTTGCATCGCAAGTTAATGAGAGATGGCGACGTTTGGGGAGGCCTTCATCTCGCAGTGGGTTGATCATGGCTGCTGCTGCTGCTGATGATAAATAAATCAAACGTGGATTTATTTTACTATATTACTGCAGCATTATAATGGTGTTCTTCAGAATGGCATCACAGGATATTTATCATCAGCTTGACAGCAAGGCACCGCGCTGTGGCTCGGAAGACATTACTGCCGCAGAAATCGAACCTAGGAGGCCTTGCAAACTGACCCAGCAGCGGGCGTATCACACGACGGGTGATTTAGTTGTCAAATTATGATTCACTAGCGTGCAAAAGGTACTCATTGTGTGCCGAATCAGACGCAACATAATACGCACCTGCTTGCAGAGATAACTTGATTAATTACAGGCAAGGATATGATGTGCTGTTAGTCTACAGTTATTTTTTGCCAATCATGCCAACCATTTAATATAATCAGACATGGCACGTGTAAATATTTTTTTCTAATTCTCCAGTGATGGTATTTACTGAAAATCATATATAAATGAAAGTCCATTGTGATGCATTGAGACATAGCCCTCCCGTTAATGCACCAATGAAAATGTGTGATCGCAGCTTGTTTCAATGACATCCACATTTAAAGGAATTGGGGTGTCAAATATTTGCACTGAGGAATTTCAAATAGGATTTGCAACAGGTGGGTTTAGTTGCCTCACAGATTATTCACACATTGTAATTATCAGCGTAGAATAGCAGGAGGTCATTTCTTGACAAAGTGTTAAGGTGCCGAAGTACCTATTAAAGTGCAGGCCATGAGGTTTCATCAGGAACACCATATGAAGCCACTTGAACCTAAGGCAGCCATTATCACTACTGCATCATTGTGTTTCAGTGTGAATTACCAATGCGAGGATCGCATTTCATTGTTATCTATATTTAACTGTATCTATCTGTATGTGTGGGAAGCAGTGGCGCAGTGCTTAGTGCACTGCTCTAAGAACCCGGCGACCCGAGTTAGATCCCCACTCACGGCCAGTAACAGCGGCATATATTTGAACTGGTCCTGGGCAGTTTGTCATCCATTTACACTGGGGAGGAAAAAGGCATTCAGACATATGCACGTGTATATATATGTTATACAAGCGATACTACCCGGCTTCGCCCGGGACTATGGATTCACCACGCCCGGCCGCCTCTGTCTCCACAGTGGCAATGTTCACACACCACACCTGTTACTCGTTTGAGGCTGAGTAGAGCTAGGGGAGGCCCAGGACCTGTTGAAACAATCGTCACCGGTGGTGGCCGTGAGCGGGAATCGAACTCGGGTCGCCGGGTTCGTAGCGCAGCGCGCTAACCACTACACTACAATGCGTTACGCTTCCACATGCGTGGGTCACATGACAGATTTGACGTCATAGCTCACTTGCCGTGCAAAAAATACATGCATTATTTAGCTCCCCCCCCCACCCCAAAAAAAGTGTATTTTGATCATTTTTGCATGGTGTACAGTCTGTAAAGTACCCACATGGCAAATTTCAAGTTTATTCAATGTCGGGAAGTACGCTAAACATGTTTAACAGACACACATTCACAACTTTGCCTTTTATATATATGGATATAGATATGTATTGCTGACCAAACCAGACCTACACATTGTGTACTTTGGTGGCCCAATAGGTGTTCACGAGTAATGCATTCTCATACAATCTCTGAGGCTGTCATCTCTGCATTAGCGCATTCACTCGTTGCAAAATAACTGGCATAGCAATTGTGCGGTGAATAGTATGCAAAAAAACACGAGGCATGGCACCCAACGAGAATGGAATTTCTGCTCCGTGGGACAATACACGTTGATATTGGCAAATGCGGCTTCTATCTCACATGGTGAATTGTTAAACGATATGTCAGCATTGTGTCCTACGTAATGCGGTATTTTTAAAAACATCCTGCTCAGTACAATGGTGCAACGTTTTTTGAAGGTCGAGCGTTGGTGCATCTCTGAGGAAAAATCTGGGCAATATTAAAAATATAGCTTTTATTTTCAATAATCTACCGAACTGCAATGCATGAGGTGAAGCAGTGGTCACAGCAGTTGCTGTGGACTCATTGTTCGAATCATTACCATGGCTAGCGTATGCATGTGTGTGTGTGAATGTTGTTACCATGGAAGTCGAAAAAGATGGCAAGCTACCTTTTTTGGATGTCATAATAAAAAAGAGACCTGATGGTTCAATGAGCAACTCTGTCTACAGGAAAGCTACCCATAAGGATGCTTATCTGAAACCGGATTCCCACCACCATCCATCACAGAAGAATTCTCTCATCAAGACTCTGTACCATAGAGCCCAATGCATATCCGACCAGGAACACATAGGCAGTGAACCCAAGCACGTATACCAAGCTCTAAAGGCTAATGGTTACTCCGACTATACAATCCGCAAAGCTATCACTCAAACCATGAAGAAGGACCCTCTTGAGGAGCCTTTCAAAACCATCACTTTACCCTACATTGCGGGGATCACAAAAAAGATCTCCAAAATCTTGAATAAACACAAGATCCAGGTCCGTTTCAACACATTACATAAAATCCGTGATCTGGTTCCGTCTGTAAAAGATGTGATTCCGGACATACAGTACCCTGGTGTCTACAAACTAAGTTGCCTCTGTGGTAGTAGTTACATTCGAGAAACCAAACGCCATGTCTCGGACCGCATTCGTGAACACAAAGCAGACCTTAAACACGGTAGGACCAACACCTCGGCCGTGGCAGATCATTGTTATAATTCAGTAGGCTCACATGACATTGACTTTTCCAAGACAGAGGTTCTTTGTAAGCCATCTGGCTACCATGAGAGATTCGTTCATGATGCTTTCCATATATACAAGCACAGAGACAATTTCAACCGAGAAGATGGTTTCTGGCTTAGCAATCATTGGAAGGATTTGATAAACCATTTCAGGTCTTAATTGATTGTTCACGCTTACGGTGGCTTTCAGACAGCATACATTAATTTTTCATCTCCCCCCTCCTCTTTTCAGAACATAGATGGACTAGTCCTTCTAAATAAACTGCCAAATCGCTGCGCGTGGCGCTGACGTTTTTTAAATAAATAAATGCGCCGTTTTGAAATAAATAAATTAATGCAAACCGACACTTCTTTCAAATGTTTCTTGCCGTTGGTTTTTTCACACATGATGACGACCGTTTGTGTTATGGTCGAAACGTCGTGGGAATTTTTTTATTGTTTTATATATTTTATTATTTTATTTTTGTTCCCTTCAACGTGACTTTACCGAAAGAGCTAGGAATATGTTGAACTTATTTCGCACTGTATGTAGCCATCTGTGCTAATCGGGAAGGACAATAAACTAAAAACAGAGTTTTACATTCAGATGGACAGCTGAACCGGTTCTCAGCTCCCCCCTCCCACCCTTTACCATACTGATTATGATCCCCTTATATTTTGTACGCCATATATATGCGTTGCGTGCGGTTGCACTTCATTTTGCGCGCGGTTGCACTTTATTTTGTGAGTCGGTGTTCGCCGCTGAGGTCATGACGGGTCTCTCCGTTATTGTTGTTCCATCGTTATTTACTGTTTTCATTCTGTTGTAATTTACACGTATGCCTACTTTATTGAGAGCAATAATGGCACGTAAAATAAATACTGATTGATTGACCATTAGACACCGACCATGGTGTAGAAGTATGGTCAAACAATCCCCATAACACTGCATTGTAACGCCTTCATCCAGCAGTGGATGAACAAGGGGCTGTACATGGTTATTGTCGCTATGGAACTAATTATGTCAGACATACATACATAACAGTGAAGTATGTCTAAGAGACATGGGACTGAATCGATTGCTGTTTCAAACGTGCAGAATGTTGCATGTACAGGGTGGCCACAAAGTCCCTTTACATTAAAAAAAGATGATGTGCCTGTTCGAACAGCTTCATGTGCTGCCCTCTATTCTCAGCACGCAGCTGGATTTGTGCCCAAGTTCTCCTTGACAGATTCTCCCAAGTGGATGGCTCCATAACTATAACAGTAGTTCTGCACGTGTTGTTGTTAGGTATGGGCTTCCGGTTGGCCACATCAGATGATATCCTCTCCAAATCCACATCCTCCACTGAATTCATGATTCAAATATTCCCGAATTACGACGGCAGAATATGGCGGTGAGCATGAATGTCACACAAAGAGTCTTCATGGCCACCCTGTAAAATGTTTACCTTGTCAACATTGGCCTTCTTTGGGTAATCTGGTTTCCTACCCACAAGCAAAAAATACACAAAGGAACTAGCCAAATATCCCCAGCTAGACCTTCCTGCAGAAACTGTCCTGAGACCCATTGTAGCTTTCCTTGATAAACAAATTTGTTTCCATTCACATTTCCCACATTATATTACATTCATATAAAAAAATAACTAACGAGCTATGGAAATGTATTGGAAATTATAGATCCTTTTTAAATGGATGCGTGTTTGTTCATTCATATCAAAGTCAATGCGTCTCCCTGTAGTGCACACCTCCATGGGTGGCCCTAAAGCCTTTGGTAGAAGCTCAACATTGATTTAGTGAAAGGCACTCTCTCCACAGGACAATTACTGTCGACTTTCCAAAGGGTGATATTTATTTTATCTACCCCATGCGGATGATGGGCCAAGTCATTTCCCAATGAGAACTCGCAACCTTCTGTTGCAAGGTCCAGCGCTCTAACCACCCTGTCACCCAGGCAAATTCACCTTCATAACAACACACAGGTGCTTTGTAACCAATGCTGTAGTGTGGGACAGCATTTTATGTTTTACAGACGCAATCAGGGTCCCAGAGGATAACCATTTATCTGCCAAGGAAATCTACAAAGTTAAATAATTAACTTTTTGTCTGTAACATTGTTTCAAGTGACATTGGTTGTACTTAGCCTTCAAAACGTAGTGCTTGCTTTTTAAGCACACTGTCACATTAATCTATTGATGCAATGATAACTTTCTTTTATGTTACATGCTGTGTTTTTTTCCTCTCCATTGGCCAGTGTTCCACTTCGATTTGATTTTTGGAAATTGCAAGACATTCTGTTCTCTGAATAAAACATTTATGGTGTGGGGATGAGGGGAAGGAATTGCATTACAGACTTTAGTCCACTTTCCCCACAGAAATACTGCACTGCCTAAAAAGGCCACTAAATTTCAGTGCAATGGAAAGTATAACGTGGATGTTTTCTTGTTGCTCGACAGTGTCTATGAGTCTGTTAATAGTGTTCAACTCTCCTCTTTTTTCATTACAGAACACGGATCGCCTCGGCATGTCTTCGGTCAGCCTCGCAGTGGGATGCATCATCTCATCCCTGGCCCTTTCCTTCTTAATTGTTGTTTATTTAATATTCTGGAGGTAAACGATATTCAAACACTCGAGCGCATTGCCTTTTCAGGGCTCACGATAAAACACTGGGATGAATAAGCAGGTTTTTATGGATTGGCATGTTGATCAAAAGTCAGAATAAATGCTTGCTTAGGCGGGCGTGGTACCCACCGACACCGGCGGTTCTGGGCCAGCTGTATTAATTCTACATGCCTATGCTGGGGGACTGGTTTCTCCATATGACGACCATGTAGGCTTCCCACAAAGTGCCATTCATTTTTATTGACTCAGAGCGACTGCAAGTCGGGAGCTCTGGCCGCAGCGCCACTGTTGATGTGCCACATTATTTCACAGGGTGTGCAGATTTCGACAGTGGCAGGAAATAAAATAAAAATCCGTTTCCCTTCAAATGTCACGAGCTTAAATTTTGCTCGAGTGTTAAGAAGCAAAATAAATAAGTAAATGTCATGACATTTCAGGCGAACGTTGTAAAACGAAGGGCAAAGCCCATATCAAAAGAGTTGGTGACCCATGTCCAAATGACGACTGGATGTTGCGCATTCACAGTGAAGATTCCGAGTCAGGTGGACATTCCACATTCCAATATCAGGGACAAATCTCTACACAGAAAAACAAGTGTTAACTTCTCACAGAGTGGGTATATGCTGTTGAAGAACATTCATAATAAAGGTTTTTGGGTTAGATCGCGTTATTTATAAATAACGCGATCTTTATTATCTATAATAATTAACGCGATCTAACCCAAAAACCTTTATTATTAATAATATTGGTCGTAAAAGCCTGTGTTAAACTGTTGAAGAACATGTTAACATCATAGAGTATACAGCACATATACATGAACACACGTTCTCTTCATGCATAAAAGAGGCAGTCAAATTGCCTGAAATTGTTTTTTTTAAGTACACGGACTCTCAACCGTATTGATTTACTTTTGCTGTAACAGGCCTAGGCAGCCATGCACCTATTCCATGATGTGATTGGCACAAAAGATGGGACTTCAAAACAAGCATATCACTGGTTGTATGACTTTTATTAATGTCAAAACCCTTTGATTACGTCTAGTATAGATTTATACACACTCGCACATATGCATGAATGCATACACACATGCGCACACACGCAATCATACTTAGTTTTTAAAGCACAAATACTCAAAGTAAATGATGCCTTCCAAGGTTTTCTCCTGACCCTCACGATATTTTATATGGGCCATTATCAGCGGTTATGTATATAGTAATTTAATTTTGTTCAGCCTGTGGTATTGAGCCTGCCCACCCTATGTGGGGCTTCTACGTGAATGATTACTCCAGGGTTCCGTCTGGTTTTACCCTGCACGGTTGCAATTTGCAGCCCGAGTGGGCTACAGATGGGCCATGTGGACTCGCGCATTAAAATAAAAACACGGATAATTTTTACTGAAAATTACACGCCATGCATTCTTGTCCTCAAAATATTGCCTTCGTGATTTTTAATGAACACCGAGCTGTGGTTTAATTTAGAAAAACAAGTTGTTTGGGTTCGGTTTGTGAATATATTAAAGCAACGCCTGTTTTAATTAAATGTATACAGATGCTTACCATGTTGTTGTTTTTTTGCCAGGGCTATCAAGTCCGACAGATCAGTCATCCTGATCAATTTCTGCTTCTCCATAATTGCTTCCAACATACTTATTGTTGTGGGACAAACACAGATGCAAAACAAGGTAAATAACACTAAACCTCTAATTGCATGACAGTATAACTTAATGTGTATAACTCGGATATGTTATTTCAGCATTTAGAAACGCATTTCAATATGCACATTAGCACGAATATATCTGTCAATATGCGATGAAACCCTCGTGTTTCAAATATCAATTTTAGCTAATGAGCTTTTAGAGGGCACGTGAAGTGCTCCTTGTTTTGGTATTGCGTCAGCTTTCTTGTACACCAGAAAAAAATCTATTTCATTTACGTGCTGTGATTTAAATTGCAGGCGTAGGTGGCTTGGTAATTATATTCTGGTGATCCAGTGATCAATTTTGGCATCTGTTCATGGTCAGCCCCTCTTATTAGACTCAATGTGAAATGGTCACATGCAACTGCAAGCATAGACAACGAATTGTTACAGACATCGCCCATGGCACTCACCCACTTGTGTGCCAGCAGCACTTTCTTCTAAGTGCCTGTGAATGCGTGTTCCTTTGTCCTTGTGTCCTTACAAATTTAAACAAAGTAAAAAAGACACGCATGTGGGGCTACTTGCTCACTCTTCATACCACGATACACAATTGGGTCACTAATCCACCAGCATACTGTGTGCAGGTCTCTCATTCCACATTCCTATGATAGGGACCAGTCACTAAAGCCACTGTTGAATACCCACAAAATGATACTGATTTTAATACACCCAGAGGGACAGGATTCGAACTCGCAGCTTTGCGAGTGGTGATTAATCTTCAGCATTACTCGACCATGTTCATGATAATGTACTGGATTTAAAGCCCTTTGTACATTATGCAGGGTTATTTTTTCGTTATAAACATATAAATCCTGGAACATGCCTGCAGTTGTAACAGTCTGCATATATGGACAAAACTTTAATGCGTCCCTGTAAACAACCGTTTTTTTAGGTTTTACACTGCACTTAAAGAGCAGGTAGATGTGGTAACATTCCTTTGCCAGATCAAAGGATAACAATTTTTTGGCCTCAGGAAATGTACAACAAATTATCCTGTCAGGCACAGAACCGTTGCTGCTCTCCTAATGGTCACGGTTTTCTCTTGAAATTGGCCGTTTTGGAAGAGGCAGAGACAATGTGTGCTGGTCTCATCATGTGCATCACGCTATCATCTTGACGCTGTGTTCTGTTTCGTAAGAATTCCCTGTCGACGCAAAGACAATTCACGTTTAGCATGAGAAGGGTGTTAATGCAGCTTCTGCACTAAAACAAACCTCACCACCTTCATCACTGAAAATAAAACAGTAAGAAAGGTAGTGGAAATGTATATCAGGGAAAAACAAATATTCAGTAAAATGGCTCTTTGTTGCAAGGACTATTCATGGAAAAGGTAGTGGGGGCCTTTATGCTTGTTGGTTTGTGCTTAGCCACCTATGTAGTTTTGTGTCTATACCAGCCTGCCTCTGCTCGACCCATTGTGGCAGGCATTCACAGCAAACCATATCTTTCCAAGAATGCCCTGACTAGTTATTTTGGCCAGATTATTGCGTCAGTGAGCCCAGCGTAGTGAAAATTAAGTCTTGGCTTTCCATCTACATGTAACATAATCTCAGCCAGCTGCCGCATGCGTGTGTGCTCGTGAGTGTGTGCATAAGGGCATGTATGCACTATGAACCTGGTAACCTGGGTTCAATCCCCAACCGCACCTAACATCAGTGGTGAATATGTGAATCCGTCCTGGGACCACCTAAGTCAACGCACTCATATAATAGTATATATATATACTATATATACTCCTATACTATATATACTCCTAATAGTATATATATATACTCCTATATGAGTATATATATGAGTATCCGGTGCGTTTAGCACCAGGTACTCAGCACTAGAAAAACAAAGGTGTGGCCAGTTGCGATTATAACCATTATAATCCTCTCGTTTGCTGTGCCAGCCTTAATATTGCTCAATAACAGCACTTGTCTCAACAGTCTGTGAAAGACTACCCAGGGGATCTGAATATGTTTTGGTTGTTTCCCTGTATGTATGTATGTATGCGCGTATCTTTTTATGCAGGCATGTGCGTGTTTGTGAGCAGACGCATGCGTGCTTGTCCACCTGCGTCCTTCATGTGTGCGCTCAGTTGTGCGTGCGTGCGTGCATGTTTGCGCGTGCAACGCTGAGACAGACGGAGAGAGACAGATTATGCCTAAGCTCCCGGAGTGGCGCTGAGGTCAAGACCAAAAAAAAAGAAAAACACAAAATGGCTGCATGCCTCAGAACAGAGAGCACTTACACGGACAGAGTGAGAGATGAGCGAGGGAGAGAAAAGAAGAGAGGGGCGATGAAAGTGCTGCCTCAGCTGCCCTGCGTGTCCTTTCCGACAGGTAGCCTGTGCCATCATCGCCGGGCTCCTGCATTTCTTCTTCTTGGCCTCGTTCTGCTGGGTGCTGACTGAGGCATGGCAGTCCTACATGGCCGTCATCGGCCGTCTTCGGCACAAGATCGTCCGCAAACGCTTCCTCTGCCTCGGCTGGGGTACGGTGTGGGCAGGCCTCCATCCAGCAGTGGATTGAGAAGGGCTTCTTCGTTATTTTCATCTTATCGTATAAAGATGTATATAAGTATATATATAGCGCCTTTGTCCGAGGTACCTCACAATGATTATAAAATAGTACGTTTGATGATAGTAGTTAAAATAATGTGTGGGGTTATTAAAAGTGGTGGTATAGCTCTGGTGACAGTAAGGAGGACAGGTAGGTGTGGGTAAAGAGGGGAATGAGTAGTATTTGGAGTAGTAACAAGGGTTGGGGTAGTGATAGGGGTTCGGGTAGTGACAGGGGTTGGGGTAGTGACAGAGATTGGGGTAGTGACGGGTGGGGGTAGTGATTTGAGTATAGGCAGTGATAGGGGTTGGGCTGGTGATAAGGTAATCATGTGGATGATAGGTGTTGGGGCAGACCTGGTTGTAGCTGGTGGGTGGGGGCAGGGAGTAGTAGGATTGGAAAGCGAGAAGAGTGTGGGGTTATTTTAAGAGAGGAATGGAAGCAGGTCAGTGAAGACGATTGTTTAATATTACCGTTATCGCAGGCTGATCCATTGATAGATACCACACTGATATCTCATGAGACCGGGCTTGTGCAGTAGTACCTGATTGGATGCAAGAGCTGTCTGTGAGTTGGACCGGCCCCGGTAGAATAATTGTGAGGCCCTCGGATACCTGTCAACCCATACAGGGAAATTGAGTAAAACATTTTTTTTTATTTTTGTTGTGTTTCTCCTTTGTGGTGGGACTTTGTAGGATGAACGTTGATATTTATAAGGGCGCGGGGTGACCAATAAGGTCTGAATTGGTCTGTAATAAGGGGTTGACAGGTATGCCCCCACATCCAATGACAATCCCCCCCATGGCTGGATTTCATTTGGTGGGGTGGCATGAAAAGCCACGTGTGTGTGCGCTCGCGACAAAACCGCGGGATATCAATGACCTCAGCTAACGCATCATTGATTTGTTGTGAGCAAAATTGTGCTGACTTTGTATTATTAAGTGTGTCATGAGAGCGTTATAATATTTAGCAAGTCTACTGAGGTTGGTGGAGACGTGCAAGAGTCTTTGGAATGAAATGATGCATCCTCTTTAATTGCTCCCCATTATTTTAGTGGAGTATCATGAATCACGTGCTATATATGTTTTACTTGCAGAAAAATACACACACTTTCGTGAGAATATGTATCACTGCTCATGGCACCTGCATACACATTGTGTGAGAATTCATTATTTTACAATTCATTCGAAATATTTGCTAATTATCTGTCAATGTTACATTTCGGCTAATGGACTAAACCAAATTTAATAAATGAAACAACAAATTATAAATGATGTAAGCTACACAGTAAAACCTGGACAAAGGATAATTGATTCCTGAATTAAAGCATGACCCCAAATCCTGACTATTCATTGAATTGCTTTATACTTAATATCACAGCTTAATTTTTCATTAAATATGTTCTGGGGCCCCCAGATCATAAGACCCTAGACATCACCCTTCCTCGTACAAGGGGTTGGCAAGAAAACACTTTCTGGAGCTCAAGCCCAAAGAGCTCATGTTTAAATTAAACCCTGATTAATGTACATACATTTATGCATTTATGTAAGATATGAACAAAGAGACTAAATTGACATAGAAATCAATGCTTCTTCTTTCATATGCTTGACCTTGGTAATGATGTTTTTGCTGTCTATTCCTCTTGAAATGCAACGCACTTGATCCATCGGTGATCCCCACCCAGGATAACTTCTTGTCTCACTCCCTCAAACCACTTGGTCATGGCCACACTTTGGTGCATTATCCACGGAATAATCCCTTTCCACACAGTCCATTCGTTAGCCGTTGTAAATACATAGAAGTTTCTGGGAATGAGATCTACGAGTGTATGGGCTTTCTCCAGATTGCTCTGGATATAACATAAATGAGAAAATTTCCTTGACAAAATAAACAAAGGTTGATGTTAAACATTTGTTAAAAGTGCACGTTAATATATTACGATGGCATTTTATAATACGGTATTTATTTGTACATGTGTATTGATCTTCTTGGTTCTTTCGGTAAAGTCACGTAGAATGAGAATAAAACAATAAAACAAAATAAGACAATAAAATTCTCACGACGTTTCGGCCACACCACAAGTAGCCTTCTTCAGGTGAAGGAGCAGAACTGTCGGCACGACAGCGCTTCAATGAAACGTCGTGACAATTTTATTGTCTTTGTTTTATTGTTTTATTCTCATTCTACGTGACTTTACCGAAAGAACCAAGAAGATGAATCGTTGCAGTCACGAAAGCTTTAAATCATGTGTATTGACTCAACATTTATATGTATGTATGTTGAACTTCTTTAGCACCGTACGTGGTCAAACGTGATAATTTTTCTTGTAGCGCCGCTCATTACTCGTCCAGCCATGGACATTTTAATAACCCATCATGTGAAGCAATTGAATGTAAAAACCAAAATCGAAGGTGTCCGGAGCGGAACTCTAGAAAATATTTCCCATCACCTGGTCAGAGTCCTGGGGGGATTTGAGATTTTGGCGGTGGTGGTGGGGGGTGGCTGATATCCCCCATCAACAACCAAGGCTCGCTCGCTTCTTTGTATCCTATCCTATCTTATATTTATAGAGCGCCTTCACTCACGGTGCTTGACATAATTGAAAGAGAAAAAAACGGTGACAGATTCGAATGATTTAGATGGCAGGAGTGTGCAAGGATTGAGGAATAAGTGACCGTGATAGAGATCAAAAAGGGTGGGGGATGGGCTGGAAGCAGCAATCATCGCCCCCTACTGGAAGACTAATGCCCGCTTGCAAGCCAGGTGCTGAGTAACTTCGTGCCACACATGAACAGCTGCCACTTGGGGTGCCGATTCATATGTTTGTGATGTAAGTTACTTATCGCATGTAACCACTTTGAAATGTCTCCGGTGTATCAAAAATATATTATTGTTACAGACAAAGCCAAGGAAACATGAGTGTGGTGATGATTAAACGATCCTCTGCCAATGATGGAAGTCCCACAGTCTGAAGGTGGTGGCCAGCTTTACCCATAGGTTATGACAGCTAAAGCCCACCATTCTCTCAGACAATTTTTCTCATTCTAAACCGTATTTGTCTTCATTCAAGTTCGATCGATTTGCCTCAAAGATCAAGATATTATTTGCTTTGTGCAGCAGGAAAGGCTCCTGTTATGTTCGCTCATCCTGTTACAGTGTCAGATTGATACAGTAGAAACACTTAGTTTACCATACATATCTGTCATCCGTTTAATAACATGCAACTATGCACGTGACCAGTTGTGCTTCTGTATCTTTCTAACAAAAGCTGCTATGCCTATTTGCTTTCACAAACTAAAACGGTACTTTGAAAAAAAATAGTCCTATATGTGATGTAACATATAATTCGTAAGTATGTAATCTCACCAACCCAATTTAAGGACAATGACGTGAGTACAGATAGTCCCCGAGTTACAATGGTCCGACTTACGATATTTCGATCTTACGATGGCGATAGCGACATTTTAAATTTGGCGCGGCAGGCAAACGCAGCAGCGTACGAGGTACGATATTGTATGTTGGGACGCTGCCGGGGATCTACGCATGTTAAAAGTTTTTTTTTATATATAGCAGATAGGATTGTTTCCTGAACAAACTTTCTATTAAATTGCAGTTCATATAGGTAGGCTAAGAATTTACCTTGTTTTTACTTTACATTTTACTGTGCAATACAGTATTGTAATGAATACATACATACAGTACATAGTTTATACAGTACGGTACTGTAAATTCCTCTGTTTTTGCTAAACTATCACCATTCTTTAAGACTCCTGGGTAGGCTAGGCCATCTTCGACTTACGATATTTTTGACTTACGATGGGGTCGTCGTAATGCATCTCCATCGTAAGTCGAGGACTACCGATATATGCATGTGTGCCACAGTTGAATATTCCCACTAATGGCGTTTATTTTTAATCCGAAACAATTATTCCCCTTTACACTCAATCACAGCATCTGCTGAGCATACTTTATCTGGGGGATACTGCAGCCTACGGACATTTTCAACATTGCTCGGCTTCTCAGCTTTTTTAATGCAGTGTTTGCAGCAATTGCCTGGTGTAAATTGAATGTGCATTAATCAGAACCCCACTCAGCCCTGGGACGTGAAGTAAGTTGCCTCATCATTTAGCCGTACTGGCCGTATATACTTAACTGTTATTTGCAGACGTGTTCGAGACTTACAGCTTTCTGCAAACTTGAATCTCTTTTAGCTCCTACCAATGTCTGCATGCCGTGGTGGCGAGATGTTGTCTCCCTCGCCGAGTATGCAAGCGGTCGTGGATTCGATCCCGACCCTCACACCTGCTGTATATTTGGAGTTTGCATAGTCTCCCCGTGGTCGTGTGGATTTTTATCCAGGTCTTGTTTTTTTCCCTCCAAATTTAGAAACATCCATTTGGAGTATTTTGATGCTGTAAATTTTCACATGGTAAGCCACTGCGCTGAGCTATCATTTGTAACCAAGTTTCTTCCGAAATATATATAGCTCAGTGAGCTTTACCTGGTAATTTCATATATATAGTTTAAGTGCACCTGTGCGTGCAACATTAATTGTAATTTAACAGGAGTGGGAACTTGGCTTTTCAGCCACAATCATTAGAATTAGAGTCAGGCTCTGTATTGAGACTGGAATAATCACAGATTTCAGTAGGTAGAGTTGTCATCTCACACGTGTACGTGGCATGTGTACAAAAGTAGTCTTCATGCGGTGGAACATTGCTTGGCTTTCAGCTTGTAAGCACTCAATGTCCAAATGGACATTTGTAAAATTAATTTGTCCCCTTTTGTGACACTCTCGGTTATTAATGTTTCCAGATCCAGCGCAATGTTTGAAGAATGTGTACCCAGATCACGGAGAGCATAGCGATGTTAAACTCAAGTGAACTGCACCACTGTGTACCTGTGGGAGGAGATTATCTTCACAGCTTGACTGCTGCTCCAAATATTAAACAGGGACGCAGCACAGCAACCGACCAATGCCTGCAATGGCATATAACTATCTACTTTCAGATTTAGTCACAGTAGAATTTTTCATATGTATGCTGATAAATTTATTTTCTTAATTCTGCTGAGATAACCGTTCATAATATTTCATACGAATACACTATGTAACACAATTTTTGTGCATGGGTAGTAAGTGTTATTTTGTAATTGCTTATGCCTAAAACGTATAGAAAATGGATATTATTCCCCACAAACTTTGCTTTTGTGACCAGGACAGTGATATTTAGAAATTTACCAATTTTAGAAAAATGGTGAATTTGTGTCTTTTTGTTCGCATGAAAAAAAAGAATTTCTACTAAATCTTCTTTGGTTCTGTGAAGCTCTGTCGTCCCGACAGGTTTGTTCCTTTCACCTGAAGAAGGCCCCTTGTGTTGTGGTCAAAACGTGAGAATTTTATTGTGTTATTTTATTTTATTATTTTATTATTTTATTCTCATTCTACGTGACTTTACCGAAAGAACCAAAGAAGATGAATCCTTGCAGTCACGAAAGCTTTAAATCGAAATTTCTACTAAAGTAGTAAATCACTTTCACGAATCGGCCCCCAAATATAGTCTCCCATCATGTTCTCGTTATACTGTCCTTGGTAGCGATGTTCAAAGTCCAGTATATCCTGGTGGAAGCGCTCGCCTTGCTCCTCCGAGTACGCTCCCATGTTCTCCTTGAATTTATCAAGATGAGCATCCAGGATATGGATTTTTCAATAAGCCCAGCTTATTGAAGAATATATTAAGTACATTTATTATATTGATGTAATATAGACTTAGTTTGTTTCACATCGGTTTAATGTATGATAGTTGGGTAGTTGGAGGTCTTTAGCGTCTATATACTAAATGCCTCTGTTGATATGTAAACTTTGACTTTAACATATCTATTTCTGTCACAAGCTAATTCCTCAGCTATTTCAATGCTAAATTCTCCTACTTTGATACTTAAACTCATTTGTCAAGACGTTTCATGCCTCTCACCGAGCTTAAAAGACACTCATTATATAGTGTATTGTATACCCAGTTGCTTTGTGATTAATAGCCCAGCTTATTGAAGAATATATTAAGTACATTTATTATATTATGTAATAGAGACGGTTATTTTCACATCGGTTTACCTATGAAAGTTTGGTAGTTGGAGGCCTTTATCGTCCATATACTAAATGCCTCTGTTGATAGGTAAACTCTGACTTTAACATAGCTATTTCTGTCACAAGCCAATCCCTCAGCTATTTCAATGCTAAATTATCCTGCTTTGATACTTAAACTCCTTTGTCAAGACGTTTCATGCCTCTCACCAAGCTTAAAAGACACTCATATAGTGTATTGTATACCCAGTTGCTTTCTGATTAATAGCCCAGCTTATTGACTAAATGCCTCTGTTGATAGGTAAACTCTGACTTTAACATAGCTATTTCTGTCACAAGCTAATCCCTCAGCTATTTCAATGCTAAATTCTCCTGCTTTGATACTTAAACTCCTTTGTCAAGAGGTTTCACACCTCTCACCGTGCTTAAAAAGACGCTACAAATCTTAACAACGCTCATTGGAGCACTGTCGTCCCGACAGTTCTGTTCTTTCACCTGATGAAGGCTACTTGTGTTATGGCCGAAACATCGTGAGAATTTTATTGTCTTATTTTATTTTATTATTTTATTCTCATTCTACATGACTTTACCGAAATAACCAAAGAAGAAGAATCCTACAGCCCATTGTGCCATAGTTCTTCACCAGAGTCTCAACCAGCTCCATATAATTTTCGACCTTGCGATTGCCCAGGAAGCCACTAACCACTGCGACAAAGCTGTCCCAAGCCGCTTTCTCCTTACTAGTGAACTTCTTGGGAAATTCATTGCACTCCAGGATATTATTTATCTGTGGTCCGACGAAGACAGTGGCTTTGACCTTTGCCTCAGACAGCTTAGGGAATAAGTCTTGAAGGTACTTGAAGGCTGCAAACTCCTTATCTACAGCTCTGACATAAGGCTCAATTTGATGTGCAGTGGTGGCATCAGCACCTTCCTGGGGTCCACTAGTGGCTCCCACTTGACGTTCTTCCTCCACACAGAGAACTCGGTCCGCTGTCGCCAGTCTCACCTGTGGTAGTACACCTTTGTATCCCTGCTGTCCCAAAGGCAAAGATAGCAGGGAAACGTGGTAAAACCGCCTTGGAGACCCATCAGGAATGCCACCATTTTGAAGTCTCCGATGACCTCCCAGCCGTACTCATCATACTTCAAGGCGTCCGGCAAAGTCTTTATGCTGTTGTAATCCTCTTTGAGGTGCACCGAGTGAGCCAGGGGAAGAGATGGGTACTTGTTACCATTATGGAGCAGCACGACTTTGAGGCTCCTGGATGAGCTGTCAATGAAGAGGCACCACTCATTCTGGTTACAGGCGATTCCGATTGCCTCGAACAGACTGGTCACATTGTGGCAGAAGCAGAGCCCATCTTGACAGGTCAAGAAGCTACAAAAAGCTTGGTGATGCTTCCTCTGATCTGCGACTTGCACACTTTCATCCAACAAGTTCTACTGCTTGAGCCTAGACGTCAAAAGCTCGGCATTGGACTTGGTGAGACCAACACCTCTGATGAAGTCGTTGAGGTCTTTTTGTTTGGGATAGTATGGGTTTCTCTCCTCAGCTCCAGCTTCTGAAATTGTCATCTGGATCTACAACGTCTTCCTCTCTCTGACTTGCTGCTCTCTTCGAAAGATGGCTGCTCTCTCTCCGGAGGAATGGGTACGGGGAGCTCATGGCAATGTGGCACCAGGGTGATGGATAAACGAAGGTCCAGATGTGTGATAGGTGCATTCTTGCCAGTCCGACGTTTGGAAGGGTCCACCACGCAGAAGTAGCAGTTGCTTGAGTGGTCAGTGGGTTCCCACCAAATTATTGGGATAGCGAACTTCATGGCTCTCTTATCCCCTCTCTACTATCCGACAAAAATACATTTATTTCACCCATGGCTAATGTGTTAGAGATTCTCGCAACATTTTTCATAGATGATATATATATATATTTTCAATAACATTGAAAATTGTTAAACATTTTAAAATAAAAAAAAAACTTTTACAATTTTAAACATTTTAAGAGTTTTTTTTAAATAAAGTTCCGAGCAACAATTGTCCATCTTACCTTCCAGAGTTTTTTTTGCATTGCTCGCAGGTGAAATGAGGTGCCCTGGGTTTGTCTTGATCCCCGACAGGCATGCCGAAATATGCCTTGTAGGCAGGCCTCACACATCTTAGCAGATGCTTCCAGAGAGTACTTTTTCGCTCTTGTCTTGATAAATTGGCCACAGACATAGCAAAATGCGTCTGCCAGACGCTTGCAGCCTTTTGATGCCATCTCAGAAAAATGCAGATATGTATCCACTTAGGCAGCTAGAACTAAACTGAACTGGTGGGCTTAAGGCCCCTATATTTATACTCCTAATTATATTACTGGGAAGTTCTAGAATGTTCTAGAAGTTACTCCAAGTTTACTCAGCACTGAATCTATCTGGAATGTTCTGGAAAATATCAATGTTTAAAAAAATATCAATGCCCTGGTCACAAAAGCAAAGTTTGCGGGGAATAGTAGCCATTTTCTGTACTTTTGAGGCATAATCAATTAGGAAATAACACTTACTACCCAGGAATTTTTTTTTATTATTACACAGTTGTATTAAACAAAAAAGTTGACGTGCCTCAATGTTCAATCGAGCATTGCGTGGTGATTATTGCATTGTTGGTGATCATGGCCAGTAATGGAAACTCCACATTCCTCTGGTAGTGGCCAGTCTATTTATAAAACAACCCGGTATACTACAGCACTCACAATTAACATATTTTTCATGGTTTTGCAGGACTTCCAGCGCTGGTGGTGGCAATATCGATTGGCTTCACCAAGGCCAAAGGTTACGGTACAGCCTCTTAGTAAGTCACTGCCTTCAGCCAAGGGCTTTACATTCTCTATCCCACTATAAAAATGCAAAGGCCATATAACCACCCTGCATTGCCATTCCATATGGGACGTACATAGATGCTAAATTAGATTCAGAAATGAATGCAAACAAGGAGATTTTCTTTAGCATTGTGCAAAGAGAAATGCCAACGTCCTACACATGAACCAGAGTAAATATTGAAATAGTGCACATGGGTAGTGGACATTTTTTATCTTCCTTATGAGATTACAGAGTACGCATTATCACCATGAAACCAATGCTTTATCAAACCATAAAACTAACTCTGCGACAATAATAACAGTAGCTGGAAAGATTTCAAAAATCAGAGAGGGAAAGTCACATGGAGAGCATTTGGTGAAGAGTTACTTCATAATGCATGATGGACTGTATAATGTTACATGCAATGTGTATGAATACAAATGGCATTTGATCAAAGGTCAAGGTGTTTCCTCAAGGGGCAGTGTTCACGTCGCTAGTGGCGAAAGGGGTCAAGTCAGTGGCAGATGCTCCATATTTCTATAGCAGGGACAATCTTTGAAATAAGGCAACTACTACTACATAACATATGCTGAAAATACTTCCCATCTCTTGTCGTTAAAATGGATATTTATAATGAAAATATTTAATTTTCAATTATTGCTGAGTACAATGAAAAATATAGTCCAGCCAAAGGTGCACTCTGGCAGTACTTGACTCACAAGCAAGTGAGTTACAATGCTAGGCTATATTTATTGCCGCTGTCTATCTTGGACAGTGTTGTGACATGCAGCATTATACAAACAATGATGTCATTATTATATTAGTCTACGTTTAACCCCCCCCACCCCCAGCCAGGGAAGTCAAACAGACCTCCACTCACCCTAGTAATGTGGAGTTTTCACTACCAGCTCAGGGCTGCCAACAGGAATGAGTAGTATTCTTTGGTTCTTTCGGTAAAGTCACGTAGATAGAAATATAATAATAAAAAAATAAGTGAGTAAAAAAGAGATAAAAAATTTAATCAAAATAATAAAAAAACTAAGAAAACATTAATGTAGACTGTTGCTTGGTTATTAATTGGAGTGAGTGTACTGGCAGTCTATAATGTACAACTGTAGCCTGGTTATTAAGTTTGGTGAGTGTACTGGCATTCTATAATGTAGACTGTAGCCTGGTTCTTAACCTCTGTGAGTGTACATTATAGACTGCCAGTACACTCACCCAGCTTAATAACCAGGCTACAGTCTACATTATAGACTGCAGTACACTCTCCAAATTTACTAACCAGGCTACAGTCTACATTATAGACTGCCAGTACACTCACTCCGATTAAGAACCAGGCTAAAGTGTACGTTATTAGTTTTACATTTTTTAAATTATTTTTATTTTATTTTGATTATTTTTATTCACTTTTTATTTTTCTATCTACGTTACTTTACCGAAAGAACCAAAGAATATGAATTCCTGCAGTCACGAAAGTTTGAAGTCAGGAATGAGTAGGCCTAATACTGAATAATGCTCAAATGAGAATGGGGTCACACTTTGACTGAGTGCCTTTTTGACCTCATGATCCGTCATCTGTTTATCCATTGATATTTGTATTTTTTCTCCCCTAAGCTGCTGGTTGTCTTTGGAAGGTGGCCTCCTGTACGCATTTGTTGGCCCTGCAGCAATGGTTGTTCTGGTAAAGAGACATACGAGTGATCTGCAAGTCACATTCATAACAGTCACTTTATTTTCAAATGATTAATTCAGAAACCTGCATGATACAATTCCGTCATATAATCTGTATGTGAAACATTACCTTTTTCATACTTGTGTAGTGAGTCACTTCTGAGACCTTAATAGTAGGAGTCAACACACTGTTCACACGCAGGATAACTATAAATGGGCTAGAACAGCCGGCACACTGTCGACCCACGACGCCGGAGACGAAGACATAGCACCTTGGGTTCCATTCCACCGACAGACGGACCTTATCCTGTTTCGGGAATTCCCTTTAATGCCCCCTGGCATGGCCTGGTTCCGCCCTCGGCCACTCCCCCTTCTCGAACCCACCAGAAGATTCTGGGCTATACCTCACGTGTCCCCTCGGTCACCTTTGCCCCACATCCTTGACCCCAGCCTATCACGTGCTCCACCAGCCGGCTGGGGTGCCCCGTCCTCATATGCCCCCTTCTGCCAGCAGCCAACGCCACACACCATAGTGAGCCACTCCGTGACATTGCATGCTCTGCTGGCAGAACGGCTGCTACACCCTGCTCTGCCGGCAGGTCGGCCGTTACGCCCACATGTCCTGTCTCTGTCAGTAAGTAACCAGCGCTGCGCTACGTGTCGTAGTGACCCATTCTATGTCACTACACTTGTTTCAATGCAATAACCTCTAACCACCTTCCTCCCTGTGAATCCAACAGGTTAACATGGTCATTGGGATTTTGGTCTTTAACAAGCTTGTGTCTAAAGAAGGAATACCGGACAAGAGGCTGAAGCACAGGGCTGGGTGGGTTTATGCATAGATATGCATGCAGTGTGAAAATGCATGTCCCTTTGGTATACATGTCGTACGTCCGCATGCGTATTACACACACATTTTATACTTTGTTTAACCCCATGCATGCAAACGTATAATTGTATATACCAGATCAATCATTTTTCGTTTTTTTAATTTCCAATCATTTAAACGTGCCTCGGCTGACCGTGTGTGCTGCATAATGCATAGCTGTAATCAGCCGGCGAGTGACAAGCGAATGCGGAAATCTGCACAGCGATTGGAATACTTCCAAACACAATCTGCCACGCAGCACTCACATTTCTGCGGGGCATCTCCTCTAACGATATCATCTGCCGACTGATTTCAGAGATACTTAGTACTCCCTTCGTTTCCATGTGGGCAGGCCTTGTAAATAATTTCTTTGCAACCCCCCCCAAAGTGGCTTGCGCACGAGCCTGTGTTTGCATTGAGGCAATGTCTGCTACGGCAACCGTTGTCATGACTCCGCGTGAGTCACATAATTTCCTTTATTTAGAAGCAGGTGACAGCCCATTGAGATTCATGATCTATTTTACAAGAGCGGGCCAGATGAGTGTTCGGGATCATTATTATTCATTATTAGTCATTATCAATAATTTTGAAATTTGCCATTTGGACCATAACGACTGTATTTAATGCCATCATGCGGTCATTAATATCCAATTAACGGCGGCGAGCGCTGTTAATACCCAATATTTCTGCTGGCGCAGTGATGGGATCCAAACCAATGAACCCGTGCAAACTGCCTACAAGCAACATTAACCACCTTGATGTTTTGGCTGTGGTGTATAAGCGCAAATCAGTACAACTCACACCACCCTTGTCATTAATGCCTTTTTATGGCATCAGCATATGCAGTGGCATAACATTTTTTTGCCAATGACCGCTCTTAAGAGCAGAAAGTGGGTGGATTTGTTGACTGGCATATAACATGAACACCATCTGCCTCGATTGAGCCAAACGGAATAGCTATTTTCACGTTGTGCCGAAAGTCTGCCATTATGCTGTGAAAGAAGATGATCTTGCTCTCCCGCTGCATTGCAGCATTCAAGTGTTGGCAATTGTTAGGCCCCCCCCATGTGTAAACGAATATACTTGTGTCTGTCTGGTTTGGCTGCTCAACATGTTCTGCGTTGGTTTTGCATTTGTTTACAGTCCCATGACTCTGCCTCAAAATGGTTTGACACTTAAATGCTCCAAGTGTGGCGTTGTGTCTGCGTCTGCCTTGTCGACTTCAACTGCCAGCAACGCCATGTTCGTGACCTTGCATTTATGTCATTTCTGTTTTTTTTTTCAATTTGTATTTTACGCTTTTATCAGTTGCATGCCTATTCATTTTGTTTTTTTATGTAAATGAGAAATGTTGTTCTCAATCGGTTTGTCCAGTTTTCCAGAGTCGCGTATTTGTCACCCAGACAAAAGTCAAGTACACCACATTAATATCGGACAAAACATAATCCTTGCCCCAAGTTGAAAACACATACTGTAGATAAATGATCAGACACTGGTATATCTGGGTATAATACAATTAATAACTGGTAATGTTGTGTCTAGAGTGCTTACCTATTGGAAGGTTGTAAGTTAAATTACCAGTCAGGGTAAACTCAGCCTATCTTCCACACATCTTCTCGGGTCAATAAAATAAGTGCCACTCTGTAGGAAGTACACAGTACTCATCCAAGTACAGACTACCCCCACCATTGGATAGTGGAATTTCCACCTGTGGCACATGGTGAACAGCGACATTTCAATGCAACCACGGTGGCTAATTTGAGCAGAACAACTCTGTGATACGATTTTAAAATGTGATAATATATCTAGCCACTGTGGTGCAGTGTCTCGTTTTGTCCAATAGACATGCACAACAAACTCCACCTAATTTACCTCTCCACTGCAAATACTGGTACACGGCGAGAGAGAACATTCTTGTCAATATCTGTATTTGAATACAAAGTGCAAGATTCGCTAATAGGCTTCAAAAAGCTCTTGATAATTAATCTCAGCTATGCAAGTCTTCATATAATTGACCAAGTCGGAACTGGGAAATCTGAGCTGGTTCTCTTTGTTAATCACATGGCATTGTGGTGCATCATTAAAGCTAACATAGCAGTGATTTGTTCTCAATTATTTGCTGTATATCAACGGACCCAAGGAAGCCAATTAAGTAAATTACAAACGCTGTAGGCATGGAGAGCCTGCTGGAAGCCTTGCTCCTGTGGCGCAGGGCTTTCCATCACTCATGGCCATGGCACAGCTATAGCCACAATCCTCACGTATTAGTTAAAGCAACAACCGAATGTGCATTCTTTGCAGATGCATTTGGAAGGGTCACTCCTAAATCTATAAGTCTGTGTTCCAACACAGCGCCGTTTCATAAAGACATAACCATGTCACACATCTGAGGTGTGGCAGCACATCTGTAGCAATGTTGTAATCACAACCTTGAGAATAATGTCAGTCCGCAATGTGCGAGCATGCAAATTAATCCATCATATCTCAATGTACGAGCGTATGCACATGTGCAGCATGCGTATGCATACGATCAAGGTAAACTTTACTGACTGGCTTATCGTAGGCAGTTGTAGAGCTGTCTCGGCACGCGTGCACAATAGTGAATTTCAATATTAAACAGCCTCATTAAACAGACACTGACCTGCAAAGCATTGTGGCTGGTACGTGTACAGACTGATAATACTAATCATGCAAACGATAACGCTAAACAAAGACCTAGTACGTTTGTATAGGGCCTTGTTTTATTAACCTCAAATCCATATTTCGTATGCCAGTCTCCCTCAATTCACATGTGATTTAGCCCTAGGGTTTTAGTGAATGCATTTTAATCAGGATGTGTTTTAAAAGAAATACTTAGCAAACCTCACGAGGCTTTGAGAAAAGACAATCAATGTAGGACAACACGTACAACTAGGAATGTGGTTTTCATATACAGGTCCATACTCGGGTTCTAACATTGGCCCATTGTATATACATATATTATCAATGTGAATATGGGTTATACGGTGTATGTTGAATTCAGATATCAAGATGCAAATAACATAATGCCTTTTATAACACTCACTTCTAAACACGATCAAGACATTACAAACGTAGTGAATATGTTAAAACCTGTTTGAAGACAATGATAAACTTTACAAAAAAACACTCGATCTATAATCCTCTATATAAAGAATTTAACAAATGAAAAAAACTCGACACATTTGTCAATAATGCTGCATTAAACAACAAAAAATAATGGGCCACATTTTTGGGCAATGTCTCTTCTTCATATAATAGTGTCCGAATGTTTTATATGCGTCTTTTTGTTGTTGTAAGGCAGTGTTATTTAAGGGAGCGTTAATTGTGCTTGTGCACCGCTGCCAACGCAGCAGCATCTCCAATTAATCTGTTAACCAGAAATTAAACAGCAACGCACATTGAGAAGGAGCTCTCTGTAGACTAGATGTAGAAATGGGAATTCAAGGTCAAAATAAATCATACATTTATAACGGGAGTTTTAAAATGCAAAAGGCGTGTGTTTGATTGTACCAAAGTAGACCACAACGTCGCATATCGATAACTCGGACAGTAAAATATAAAAATCATGTACTGTTCTGTAGCATACATATTTATTTGAAACAAATGTCTTTAAATTAGACTTGATGATATCTGCTCTTATCATATAGTGTGAAAGTACATCATATGAATGTAGCGTGACCACGAAATCGCATTGCACTTATCTGTAGAGTAGTTCCATATGAAGGCAGAGGGAACGGAAACAAAGTGTGTGCGTTCGTTCGTCTAAAAAGTGCCGTGCAGTCAAATGTGAAACTGCATTTCTTAAGTAATTAAAGAAATGACAAAACAGCTAATTGAATACCCTAGTTCGTTAAAATGCACATGTGACTTAATCCACTATAATAAATGCCTTGCAATTTAATAATTATCATCCCTTCACCGTTGACTTTGAAATTTGTTGCAAGTCAATGATGGTTGTATATGGATAGACTGGCCTATTCTACAGGCACGTATAATTTCTACCACTCGGGGCCACCGAAACAGACGAGAGCTGCCCCAATTGTTGTTGTTGTTGTTGGAGAAGCGATGCAATTTTTGACTTTGCTTTATTAGTTATACATTGCAGTGAATTGAACATGAATTAAACTTGATTATCATCAATTGCATTCGTGTTTGCTCTCGCAACAACAACAAAGCCACGGTGAAATCGTGCCAAGATCACTTATCAATTGCACGCTCTTGCAGTACAAGCCCACGCAATCTGAGAAAACACTGGCTCGACAGATTGGGCCAGAGACAGAAGTAACTTATGTCGTGCATGCTGGGGCGGGGGTGGGGGGGGGGGTACGATGGGTGGATAGGTGAGTAGGCAGTTAAATAGATATGGAGCCAATACAACAATTAGCTGTTATTTTGTGCGTCCAAAACATTTCCTCGGCTGTGCTAACTGAGCTGTCTGCAGTATAATCATTATGAAAATGCTACTTTCAGGCACAACACCGTAGCCCCTTCTCGTGCCATCACTGGGACGAGCTTACCTGACGTGCATTACATTACTATGAGTTTAATGTACACATAGGGAAACGTAAACGCGGTACAGAAACAACCAAGCACCCACAGCTGTGTACCATACAACTGCACAATGAGGTATCCGTGCAGCCTCAACTCTCACCTCCACGGCCCCACACTCGAGTGCTCTCACCTCCATTCACGAGGTGGGGGACCCCTACTGCCCCCCCAGCTAACTCGTGGTGCACAGTGCAAGCCTCAATATACGTCGACGCAGCTCAGATTACAGACGGGGGATTTAAACTTTTACCAAAAAAAAACGAACGGGCGGTAAGTCCGCTCTGTGTAGCCACGAACCGGGATTCGAGAGGTGAAACGAGTTTTCTATTTAAAGAAACGGCAACTGCCACGTGACTACGGATCGATCAAAATTACTTTAATGTTGAAGTGAAATAGAACCCGATGTTTTTTTTGTGTGTTTCGGCTTACGTCTTCCAGTTAATCGGTGGAGCAAAGGGGAGATGGGGGGTGAAGCTATTGGGGGCAACGAAGCAAAACATTTCTGTTGGGGGGGGGGGGGCACATTTTTCAATTCATAAACTCCCAGTGTGATGACCGAAGAGATGTAGACGAGAGCGAGACGAAAATGCAAGCTAAAATAGATTTGTTAAAAAATAAGAGCGATGTGATGAGCGTACCTTATCAGAACATTTTAAATGCATTAGCAGTTTGGATTTAAACTGATATTTCATGCACCTCTGGTTTTGCAATGAACAAGCGCCCCCTTGAGCCACTTGGGGCCCTAAGAGTATGCTTAGTTTGCTTGAGCCTCGCCCCAGCACTGATTGAACAACGCTGCTCTAAGTCTTTAAGTGATTTACCGAACCATACAAACGTAGCCTCACTCACACCTGTATTGGTGTACGCGTGTGTGCATATCTACACACGTGTGTGCGCTTGCATGTGCATGCTTATGTGCATGCTTGCGTGCGTGTCTGCGTGTGCATGTGTGCGTGCGCGTGCATGCACACGTGGGTGTACACGCGTGTATGTGTGTGCGCGCGTGCGTGCGTTTGCATACGTGTGTGTGTGTGTGTGCGTGCGCAGGGCCTCCCTGTGGAGCTCGTGCGTGGTGCTGCCACTGCTCGCTCTCACCTGGATGTCGGCCGTGCTGGCCATCACCGACCGCCGCTCGCCGCTCTTTCAGATCCTCTTCGCCGTCTTCGACTCGCTGCAGGGCTTTGTCATCGTCATTGTGCACTGCGTGCTTCGGAAGGAGGTGTGCAAGCGCACACCGGGTCGTGCAGCAGTGTCGCCATCAGCTTCGTCCCTAGGATCATTATCAGCATCATCCACATCATCCGCATCATCATCATCAGCATGGTCAACAAAATCAGTGTTTTGTCACTGTCATCATCAGCATCATAACATTAATGTCATATCATAATCACCGTGACCAACATCAGCACCATGATCAGTAGCAATAACAGCAGAATCACTATCATCATAATTGTCTTGCTCATGAATCTCATGAATTATACTAATTTGCTGCTGTAAATTATTTAAGCTGTATTCAGTCAAGTCAAAGTGTTTCCCTGTTCAAACAAGCAATCGGGCAATGGAGGTGGTCGTGGTGGTGGTATTGGACATTCCTCAATTAAATGGTCAGAGCCTGAATCTCCATAAGAACTACCACAAATGAGTACTCACTTTATCGACCCCAGAGGGATGATGAGCCAAGTGAATTCCCATTGAAAGTTGAACACTAACTGCAGCTCCACCTGGCCAGATTACATAAACTCTGTTATATATGTTTTTGTATCTCTATATGTGTACGATATATGGTTCCCGATTGTGCCATTTGTAGCACATGTTAATTTGTACCATCAGTGAATGCAATAATATATATTCCTATAAATAATTCATATGGTGACATAATTACAATTTTCCTTTGTAGCTCTTTGGAGAAGCGCGCTGCATTATGCTGAAAGGAGTTTGGTTGAAAATGCCCGTTTCATCTCGTTTTGTAAATGCAGTTTACAGCAGGAGGGGATTTAACCGCAATACAGACACACGGCACAAACATTGGAGCTGCTGGGCATTGCATGCCTGCTAATTTTATTTTAAATAAATTCACAGCACACCATCAAAGGTTGCCAATATGAAGGAACTGCATTGTGTGCACTTGAATGCCCAATCATCTCATAGCGCGCCTCACATCAGCAGATCTCACCACATTCATTAGTGCCCAGCTTTAGTTTTATTTTCTTTAAACCCAGGGCACCCCCGAATGACAGCTGTCCCTGCATGTCACAAGGTGATGGATATACTGGCATGCAAGTGGGAATTAGTCTATCACTAGGGGGGCAATAAGAAGGGCTGAACGATAAAGCATTAAAAGTTAAAGTAATCTAGCCGTGTTGAACTCATTTATCTCTCTGATAGATTTGCAGTGATTAATGCATGCCTTTAAAGCAGCATCACCATTGTCATTAATTGAAGCCCACTTTGCTGTTCACGAACAACATTCCCATCGGAAAATGCTGTATGAAACCCCACACCCAAAAAAATATTAAATAGATTTTGTAAATGGGAGTCAGTACTTTTTTTTCTGCAGATTTTTAATTTCTGTCAAATATTTGCCCATGGAATCAGTTTCGAGCAAGTGCACTGAACAGGCTTTTTCCAAATTCAAGTCCCTGGGTAAAACAGACCAGGTGGCAAGGCAAACGCATGAGTGACCTAACGCGCTCTTATTATGCAGATTGCCAAAGCGAGATGGTGCGACTCTTTAAGCACCTGTCAAGGCTACACACGTAAGCCTGCTTAGCGATAGAATTTTAATAGATAATACGGCAGGGCTTGCTTACTCTTGATCACTGCCGTGTAAATCTCCCCCTGCTTCTTGTTGGACAAAAGAGGGGAAAGGAGTCAACATCTGTGAATTGTTACTATGTTGAGCTAACCTTTTTGTTACGTTAAATTTTCTAATTGTCAATTAGCACGTAACTAATTTATGTTTTAATTAACTGTACTTTAGAAATCCATCTGAGGGGTGATGTAGCGGAGCATTTTAAATACAATAGAAATGTCATAATTTAAAATCTCACTTCATGGGTCGATCCAGCCTTGCATTCCTCCAGGGTCAATAACGTGAGCACCACATCAACATGGGAGAGTTTGAGAGTGGTTATTCTGTGTATAGACTGGCCTCCGTCATAGGAAAATGTGTACTTTCTGCCACTGGCTCTGGCCCACGAATGGAAATGAGCACCACCGCTCGTTCGAGCAGGCAGATACTTTGACTTGACTTGTACTGCATTGTAACTTAAATGCAAATTAAGAGTACAGTACTGTGCACAATAATATTCTGGTAAATGCTAGTCTCACACGATTAATGTCTGCAGGTGCAAGATGCCCTTAAATGCAGATTGGGTGACACACAGGACCATGTGAATGGAGATTCAAGTGGGTCCTTTCCCAATGGCCATGTCCAGATCATGGTAACTGTTATTTAGACGTAACACATTTTCAAGCTATTTTGAATGCACGGAGTTTTGTTTTTCGTTTCGCTATCCATCACTCTAAAGAAGTACGAGTAACACTAATTCTTGAACCTTGTACAAGATAGCAACTCTCCTTGAGGACGATCACAATATAAAATGCAACATCACCAATGGTTTTCCAAACAAACAATAAAAGCCAAGCACCGTAAATACTTGCAGCAGCTGGGTGGCGCAGTTGCCAGAGCACTCGACTCAATCGGAGAGAGGTGCATTTTCAATGCCCTGGTCAGGTGTCAACTCAGCCCATCAACTTTATATTAGGCCATGCAATAATTGCAACTTCGTGAGAAGATGACAGTGGTTGTCCTATGGAGAGACTGGCCCTCACCATGGGAATATGGAATTACTACCACTGGCTCGGGGCCACCAACGGATATAAGCACCGCCCCAATGCTTGTTTTGAGCAGGGAAACACTTTGTCTGTAATTATGTTAAACAATTGCATATATGAGGGCACCCGATATAGAAAGCCCTACACGTAATGCGATGGTTACATTGTAAACAGGCTACACTAGATTCAGTGTTCATTTAAAGTAATAATGTTAATTGATGCATACGAAACACTTTCATGCATTACACTTCTTAATGTTTTGCAACACAGTAAAGTTGTTATTGTCGCAGCTAATCACATTTACACATTTGCTCTGCCAATTTTTCTTTTCAGTCTGATTTTGAAAAGGATGTTGATATGGCCTGCAGATCAGGTACGTGTGAAAAGAACACACACACTGTAATAAATGTGCAGAGATAGGATATCCACACTGACAAAATAATAATAAAAAAAATACGTAGCAAAAGTGGCATGTGGGTGCTTAAATAACACATAACGAATAAATGCAAAGCATCTGCATCATGCCTGAAATAAAATAACTTTCAAGCCATAAATAGGGAGGGTGGCAGAGAGTGACCCGCAGTGGTTAGAGCATTGCATAAATCCTGGTCACAAATAACATCAGTGGCAAGTAATATCTGAATTGGTTCTGGGCCTCCACTAACCTGCACAATCTCTCATGATGAACATGATGTTGGAACTCGTTCATTCATTAAAGGATTGACAAAAGGCTGCACATTATTATTCCATCAACCAATACGTGGCTTTCAGATCATTGTATTATATTAGCATTCGTTTATACATGGAAATCCTAGACCAGTTTGAGCTTCTCAACAGGATGTGACCTGTGAAATAAACTTCTCAAGCTTTTGCATTCTTTAAACTAATACCATTGACAAAACGATGATTCAAAATAGTAAAAGTACATGTTATATTATAAAGATGCTCAAAAGGGCACCTCACCTATGCACGTATTCCTTTATTGCGCTCGCCGCTAAGATGCAGCCGTTAAACAGAAATCTCGCGAGAGACTTCACCGTGACATTTGATCGCAAATCTCTAAAACACGCATGCTGATCTTAAGCGTTCATAGCGTACAGACGCGTGCAGACTGATGTAGCCTAATTGCATGCAGTTCTCCACAAAGACATCAACACCTGCCGGAGGTCCGCCAAAGGGCCCCTCACGAGGGCGACGGTGCGGGAGGAGGAAATCCTCGACAAGAAGGACTTCCAGGCCATCCCCGGTGGGCCTGCCATTCCCATGGGCTCCGCCATCCCAGACATCCAGCTGCAGGGACCCTCTGGCTACCTGTCCCCCATAGGCATGGCGCCCATCCTGGGCACCGAGCAGCCGCCCTGGAGCATCGAGGGGGATGGCGGCGGGCGGCCGCTCAGCGGCCTCTACGAGGGCGGAGATCTGATGACGCCGCTGCAGCCACAGCAGCAGCAGCCGGTGGCAGCTGTCGAGCTGTCGAGCGCCGAGAAGCGCGCCCTCGAGAGTGACTATGTGGTCCTGCCACGGAGCTCGGTCACCTTCAAAGACCAGGAGGTGATGGGCATGGGCGTCGGCCTCATGGGCCAGGGCACTTTGAGCCGCATGGGGCTCGTCATGGGCATGGACCAGGGCATGGCGCTGGGTGTGGGAGGCCCCGACATGGAGCAGTATGGAATGGCTGGGCTGGAGCAGCCACTGCAGATGCAGCACCAGCAGCAGCAACACCAGTATCAGAATGTGCCCTTGGAGTCAAGGCCAATGGCCAAGCATTACAGTTTGACCAAAGTGAGCAAGGAGGCAATGATGGGAGGCACCCCGCGCAGCGAGACCAGCTCAACCGTGTCCATCAGCTCCTTAGAGGTAACTGAAAATTCCTAAGTGATTTTAAAGTATTACGTGCATTCAGAATGGCATCGAGCAAATAACTTGGAAGTTCGGTTATTTTATAAGGATGAAGGAAAAGTTGCATTTTTGTTACCTTGACAATCATACGATATTTATCCAGAGGGTTCTGCTAAGGAGGTTTATCCAACTTGCTTTTGAATATATTTTGCATGTCTCAAGAATGACAGCCCAGAGAAAACCAACACACACGAGTGGATAATACTTAAAATCCCCTAGAGTTGAATGAGCAACCTACTTGATATACTGCAGTGCACTGATCATCTGATAACCTTTCATGATGAGCGTCATGCGATTGCGTGATACGCCAACCTCTCATAGTGGAGTGGCCACAGGCATGCATTTAACAATTAAGTAAATATTATATTTGTGCTGAATAATTGCGATGAACTGTCCTGACAATTTAGACATGGCGTTCATTTAACCTACTTGTTCCATTTTTGTTGTTTCAGAGACGAAAGTCCAGATATTCAGAATTAGACGTGGAGGTAATACAAGCCTTCAATGCATTTATATACTATTCATGCATTTGTACACATATATAGCATGATAAACTGTCAATTTTAAGAAGCATTTAAACGTTCACAAACGAACAGTCAGGTTGAGCGGTCCAGATATTGCTGTATAGTATTACTCGTGTCGTTTTAAGCAAAACCTCTCCAGGTGTGACCGGCAGAATGTTGTTATGAATGCTGTCATTCCAACCCACCCCACATGCATTCAGACAATTTTAAAGATGTTCATTTTATGTAACTGTCTTACGTTGGCGAGGTTTACATTTCCATCTGGGTTTTTCCCCCTCTTTTTTGCCAGAAGATTATGCGCACTCGCAAGAGACACCAAGAAATGTTCCAGGAGCTCAATCAGAAGTTCCAGACTTACGAGAAAGGACGGGAGTCCCCTACTGTAGATATTGCAGTAAGCGACCCACTTAAATTCCAACTGCCGCACGTGAAATTTTATTCACCTATAAAATTAGTTGGCTGTGCCACGTTGCATCGTTACAGTTATCACGTAATGAAATAACTACGAGGATTCTTGTGAAATGGACAAGTAGTGCATGCTTATAATGCACACATCAAACTTAAAATTGTTCCCATGTTCATCCTCACTGACAGACGGATGCCAGGGTTTAAAATCCCACCATCTGTCACGTGACAAAAAAATATATAACTCCGCATGACGACCACTGTTGTGTCAATGGGAAATTCCACAGTGCTATGACAGAGATCTATCTGTTTGCGCAACCACTATTGACTTCCTTACCAATTGGTGCAGCCTCACCAGGTGGTGACCATTTTGCCATTCCCAGAGTTATGCTTGGCTGAGTAGAACCTGCTCAAGATAGAAATGTGTGATCTCCGTACAAGCCATGCTATGTCCCAACAAGTATATTGGCAAGATGAGAAAAACTGTAGCGTAATTGAAATACTCATGGAATTCTTTTTAATTACAATTGTAAATTGTGTAACTCATTATGTTCATATTTTACACACATATTACCGGCCTGTCTTGTGTCATATTGAATTTAATCATTCAATGGCTTCGAGTTGAATTCCCAGGAGAGCCAATTTCAGTGCAGGTTTACCATTTATACTCTGGCTTTATTTATTTTTTACATTGTCATACATTCACTCTATAAGAAAAAAAAACCCAACCAATAAACAATGCAGTCCACCGTAGCACTGATGATATATTAGTCACAGATGGTTACTGGACGTAAGTATTCGCTGTGGTGCAAGGCAGACGATGACGTACATCGTTGAAGACTGCCGCGCTCATCAAGGCTATCGCGGCGGTCTGAGGATGACGCTGCATTTTACAAACGATGAAGCTCCTGCCAGCAGTACTTCCCCATTCACGACTTTATCAAAAGCTCGCGCTCTTTTTTGACTCCAGTGCTGCACAGCTTTAAATCCATAGCGCTCACATTGGTGACTCAGTTTTATTTCTCTGCGTCCTACTTTGGATCGTTTCTGTCAGCCGTTAATTTTATCCATCAGTTGCAATCATCCCGATGTGTGCATGCTCTTCTCTTAGTGTGATGCCCAGGAATTATGTTTCTGCTGCACTTGGTTCGCTTTAAATGGTTAAGCACACATACTTGCACACCACGTGATCCGATAGTGTCTTGTTATTTGGAAGAAAAAAAAACATCTTGAAGCACACAGTTGCTATGTTACTGTATAAGTTTTACATTCACAAATAATGGAGCATAGGATGAAAAATCACATTGCTCCGTTATGGGTTTCTATTGCTTGATGATCACAGAGACCATCTCACGAGCAACCTAACTATGGATAACTAGCTCGTGAAAATTAGGTCAAAAATCATTATGAAAATAAATTCATCCGTCAATCCAGCATTGAGTGCCTGAGACAAACGGAATGTCGTAAACTTCCACTCCTGGATGTCTTTGCATAGCAGTCTACAGAGTTAAATACGAGTACCACTGTCGAGTGGCGAGACTAGTCCCAGCCAGAGAATTGCCACCAATGGCTCAGGGCCAATGCAGATGAACATCACCAAGTGTTACTTTTAAGCATGACAGGAAAGAGATACAGATATTTTGTGTACTGTGTTTAGTTTATTATGCTTCCCCCGCACCTCTGATTAGCGTGGCTGGCTAGGTGCGGCGCGACCTAAGTTCAACATACATGCATACATCTTATATTAGGAAAGTTCTTGGCCCAAACCGTTGCCTATTACATTACAAATTTCACTTTTAAGGGCAGTTATTGCCAAATGTGTTCAGTTGCTGCTCTTTGAGCTTGCGTACCACTGGCAGCGCAGTATTTTCACCACCACCGTTGTTGTTTTGTGCAATTCTCGTTGTGCCCTCTTTAGTGCCAAGAGAAGCAGACCCCGAGTAAGACGTCATGGGATTGCATCCGGAGGGCTAGCCCCACCCAGCAAGCCTGGGGCAAGAAGGAGGCCTACGGAGAGGCCCATCAACGGGTAGAACTCAAAAACATTGAGTGGGAGAAACCAGGGGCTACCATTCCACTGGGGGGTCACGAAAGCGACATACAAACCGAAGTGTGACCGCGCATTCTTCTGCAACGCCGTGGACACCGGGCCTTGCGACGAGGGGGGTGGGGAAGTGGGGGGGTGGGGGAGTGGGGGTGGGTGGGTGGGCGCTGCTTGGCTCGGTCGGTACGGGGGAAGCCCACCAACCATCACCTTGCTGCTTGAAGTCGAGCTTTAGGACAATCGGCTGAATGGAAAAAAAATAAACCTCCATCCACCTAACTTTTGTCAAACTTGTTGACGGACTTATATTTGCTTGATATCCAAGCATGTTTCAAAACAGACCTTTAAGACGACATTTTTTTAATGTCATAGCCTGTTATATGTATAAACCTATTTATATCATATAAAAAGCTGGACCTATACATTTCCATCTCGATAAACTGCACATGTTTCTTTTTTTCTTTCTCATGAACACTTTGATGTGATTTACGTTACGATAAAACGTTCCCACTTTTCACATTTGCATAGATGCAATGGATAATCACCTTTACTGTTGGATTGTGTTTCTTTGTAGAAGATTTACTGGGTTGACTATTTTGTGGAATGCAGTATTTCTATATAAAAAAGTTCTCAGTCCATTAAAAGTTTCATTTTGATATAAAACAAAAATGTTGATACACACAGTCTAGAGACTTTATGAAATGAAAACAAAAGATGTTTATGTAGATTATTCCAAAATATTAATGTATATTTCTGTAACACATATTTGAAAGATTACATAACTTAGGTTAATAAAATTTTATAAAAAATTGTTGTTTGTGCTCGTTCCACCCACACTTTGTTCACTATAAGATTGTAAATCAAACTAGTGTATTAATTTAAAGAGATGCAGTAACTCTTTGTTGAACTTGGAACTTTTATTCCTCAAGCGAAAATCTTCGGTCAAAAAAATAAAAAAAATATGACGGTGTACATGAATGCAAACATTTTCCCGCTTGCTGCAACACGTAATTTATACATGTGATTTATTTGTCTCAATATTTATTATGATCTGCAACATTGATTAAAACACGATCGGTCTACTGTCTCAAATAATCGGTCACATATATCCAGTCATTGATTCCGAGTTTTCATGCTGTCAATTACTTGTCCATGGCTTATTCTTCAATGTGTTTATCTACATTAGCACTCTTTGAAAGTGTATGTGTGACCACAGTTGCTATGAAGAGTATAAGATGTTTTGTTATGTATATTCGTCCTTTTTTAAATTGACAGATCGCCATAAATTTGTAACTGAAGATGAATTCACATGGTGAATCGATTAATAATGTATGAAAGTTATTTTAAAAAAACATAGTTTTATTTGTCACAAGTGAAGCGTTTTTGTTATTGCAAACTTTAATGAAAGGCAGCAGCTATGCTGGAACGCACACACACATTGACGACCAAGCCTGAATAACAAAATCATATCGATTCCTACAACTGTAATGAATGTTTAATTTTTTTATTCATCATTGTACATGCACGTATGTGAGCGTGTGTTTGTGTATGTATGTGCACACAGGTGAGCAATGGAACAGTGGTTAGTGTACTACTGCACTACGAACCCAGAAACCTGTTTTAAATTCCCAGCCACAGCCAGCATCAGGGACGAGTGATATCAAAACTGGTCCTGGACACCCCCAAGATAAAGGAGTCCCTGGTAAAGCATCTGCACATTAGCACGGAGGAGATGAAGGTGGCAAGGCATTGTTGCTGGCCACACCATACCCTCATGCACCATTTCGGCCTCAATAAGTGTTCGCTAACAGCATTAACCCACCAGTTTCTAAATGCTATAGTGGTACATGTGTCTATGCATGTGTGCGCACATGTCTCATGTACGTGTCCGTGCGTATATGCGTGTCTCTAACCTGTGCGCGTGCTGTGCTTTGCACTTGCCATGCCACTGATCGTGACTGACTGCGACCTTCATTGCAGCCTGTGGGCATCAACAATCAATGCCTCCCTTTCCAATGAATGCCTGAGATCCCGACTGACAGCACCGACACAGCGCACGGCGCAAAGATTGGCATACACAGGTCTTTATTAAGGGTAGTGTTTTCGGCACAATTGCTTGCAAGGCTGACATCTATAAAATTTTGTAATCAAGAAACGTGGTCACTTAAAAAAAAATTGTTAAAAAGCCAGCAGTACATAAGACTGCATTCTCATTTCGACGAATGCCGATTTCTGTAAACGTGAAACGGCTTGATGAGGCGAAGCGATGTTTACGTGGAACATAACCACACGCAGGGTTGGCAAAATGCGCCACACTGCTGATGTGCTGGTCTCGTGCGGCACCGTTGGCACTGCACGGATTTTTTTTGCTTGGCCCTGTAATGTCCACAAAATGATCAATCGGAGAGCAGAAAAAAAAGTCACGTTGAATTGTAACATCCATCATTATCGATATACGGGTACTTGCAAACAAATATTTCGCTACTTCAGCAACGACAAACAATCGGCACGCACTCATATAAGCAATCGCATGAAATAGAGCGTCATCGGTTTGTGTGAACCATGCAAAGATGGTGAAGTGTATCATATTCCCATTGGGACTATCTGTAAAGATACAATTCTTAGTAATTTCCCCCATATATACTCTCCACAATTTACAATAAGCACTATTGCAAGTAACATCTTTCTTGGAAAACATTAAAATTGTTACTGTGTGTACAGTAATACATTACATTAATAATATAGAGCCCTTTTGTTAATCCACTGCTGGATGAAGGCTTCCAGACACCGTGTTGATCATGGTGATGTATTGGCCATACGTTGATCAGTGTGGGCTGGTGAAAGGGGATCCAGAACCAGTTCAGATATTACTCACTCGTGTTACTTATATAGAGTACATAATTATTAATCTTGACAGAATAATTAGTTTAAAAAGGCAAATTAATGTTTAATAATTGATTTAACTAACACAGTTACTTTTGTTCAGCAAAATATACCCAGTGACGAGTTTGAGACAGCTGAATGTAGAGGTATTGGTAGGCGTTTAATAATGCATTGGTTCAATCACAATCGACTAATACGCTCATGATATATGCATCAAATTGCACGTGTAAAAGCAATTATTTGCAATTTTTGTAAACGAGTTGCTGATGTCACCGGTTGCGCGAACAAAACTTATACAATTGAGTCAAAAAGGACAGTGCCAACGGAACGACAAAAATACTTCAAAAAATTGGTTCTTGATTCGGATCGCGACAATTCAAATATTATGGCTGTATCGATGTGGGAATTTGCAGAATCGTGTGTTCAGGAAAGGATGTCGAAGTGGGGGGGGGGGGGGGGGGCGGCAATAATGATTCATATTCTTGAATTATTCAGGCGTCCATGACTACTTTGGTCAGTTGGGGCAGTAGACACTACACACGGTTTCAGGGCTGTCAAATTTGGGAATGCCCTTGTGTGAGATTTGACCGGATACATTTCACGAATATTTTTTCCGGTGAGGTTCAGAGTGTTGACCATGGCAGACGCCCGTCAGTGTCGGTGGCGGCCGTCTGCTCACCTATTGGTGTGTGTGTGACAGGGCCCTACATTGCGCGTGTTACACACGCAATGCCCCTTGTAGTTCGGGACGCGAGTAGCTGACTGGTCTCAATAGAGGATATGTGTTTAATTTTATTTTGTATCGCTTCGAAATAAAAAGGGAAAAAAATTGACTCTTTTGCTTTTAAAATCAAATTATGTGCTTTTACTACTTCTGTAGAAGACATTACAAATGTATATGAAACGGTCTTTACCGTGAAAGTAGATGTCATTGCTGCATTGAACCTTCTCACTGCTTTGAATATAACTTAGAACCAAAGAGCATGGATTTCTGCAGTCACGAAAGCTTCAAATCAAGATTATTCTGCTTTATTTCTGAACCAGTTGTTCTTCAATTCCCGGATTTTAGTTTGTACTTCCGATTTGGCCTCCTTATATGATTGTTTTTCTGTCTAGACTGTGTTGTTGCCAGGCGATTAATGCTTTCCGCTTCTTGTCAATGAGGCCTGTGATATCTTGGTTGTTGTCATCAAACCAGTCACAGTTTTTTCCTGTTTGTGTAGCCAATGGTGTTTTCACAGCTGGTTATAACTGTCGTCTTCAGTTGTGTCCAGTCCTCAATGAACATTTCCTGAAGCCTGGTTGGTGCTGAGTCTTTGCGCTAGTTGTTCTTTCAGTCGGGCCTGTACTGCTGGGTCTTTTAGTCTGGTTACATTGAGTCTTTTCCTCTTTACCAATTACACCGTTCCACATTTGATGGTCTCTCCCAACTCTAGCATTGAAGTTGCCGAGGAGAATCAGATTCTAGATTTGAAGCTTTCGTGACTGCAAGGATTCATACTCTTTGTTTTTTTCGGTAAAGTCGCGAAGGTAAAACAAAATTAAAATAAAACAACTCAATCAAATCACGACGTTTCAGAGGCAACACAAGCTTCCATCTTCAGGTGGAACAGTCACCGCAGCTACGTGACTTTACCGAAAAAACCAAAGAGTATGAGAATCAGATTGTCAGTTTTTGGTGTACTCTGAGGAATTTGGTTGAGTTGGCTGTAGTAGGTCTCCTTTGTATCTTCTTCAGAGTCCAGTGTTGGTGCATAGGTGCTGATGACGGTTGCATGTTGATCTTTCGCGAGTTTCAGGCGTAGGGTCATGAAACGCTCATTGATACCAATTGGGAGCTCACTGAAGCTGTCGATGAGCATGTTGTCTATTGCAAACCCTACACCATGCAGGAGTCGTTCATGCGCTGGTTTACCCTTCCAAAAGAAGGTGTAGCCTCCACTTAGCTCGGTCAGTTGGCCTTCATCCGCCAGACGGGTTTCGCTGAGGGCGGCAACACGGATATTAAATCATCTCAGCTCGCGTGCTGGAGTGCATCCCGGCAGAGCTGTTCGGCACTCTGGACGTTGCGAGTTTAGGTTGTCTGTGAGGGTCCTGACATTCCAGGATCCAATGTTTAGGTTAAATTTATTTTTGTTTCGACCGCAATTATTGATGCTCCCTTTGGTCGCGGTAAGCCAGACAGAATTTTGCTAGTCAGGCTATGTTTAGGGCACCTTTTCTAGCCCCCTCCCCATTTGGGGT